CTTCTACCACCATACGTGGGCCGCCGACGACCTCGAGCACTACTACCACCACGCCGGCGCCGACGACCTCGAGCACTACTACCACCACGCCGGCGCCGACGACCTCGAGCACTACTACCACCACGCCGGCGCCGACGACCTCGAGCACTACTACCACCACGCCGGCGCCGACGACCTCGAGCACTACTACCACCACGCCGGCGCCGACGACCTCGAGCACTACTACCACCACGCCGGCGCCGACGACCTCGAGCACTACTACCACCACGCCGGCGCCGACGACCTCGAGCACTACTACCACCACGCCGGCGCCGACGACCTCGAGCACTACTACCACCACACTTATTCCGACACCTGCTCCATCTTTGTTTTTTGATTTATCGAGGAGTTATCTTCAAGCGCTAGAGGATAGTCACTCGCTTGATTTCGTTTCAAGTGTTGCGGTGAATATTCGTTCAATCTCAGCCAAATCGTTTTTTCAAATTTCATTTTCTTCAGGGAGTTCCTCTCTTTTTGGTGAGATTCCGTCTATATCCCTCAATGGAGACCTTCGTTCTTCTTTAAGGCAGGACTCCTCAGGCAGTGTCATGTTGAATGTCAGTCTATGGGATGGAGAAGTTTCGTTCTTTGCAGATAGACTTCTTCAAGTAATTGTTCTCCCTGTCAATGATCCTCCAAGCTTTGTAGTTTCGATTCCCTCGTTCTTGATTATTGCATATGGACCAGTTGAATATCCTAGAGCAATTCGAAATATTTCCACTGGTGCTCCTGATGAAGAACTTACTCAGCAAATCTCCTTTGAGATTTCGCTTGTAAGTGGACCGACTGGATTTCAGCTCAGTTCGCTTTCAATATCTCCTGCTGGATCGCTATACATGAATGTTGCTTCTTTGGGTATAGGTGCTGCACAATTCCGTATCCTAGCTCGAGACAATGGAGGAATAACCAATGGAGGAGTTGATACTTCGGACCCGAAATTCTTGACGACAGTTCTTGTGTACAGTCCACCACCTGTGCAAAATCTTTTGCTATCTCAGTGGTCTTTGGACGAAGTGCTTGTACAATGGCAATATCCTGACACTTTCAAAACTAATGCAAAATCGGTTGGAATCACTTTTCAGATTCATGTACAATACAGAAGTTCTGTAGGTGAAATTTTGGATACTTTTGATAAGTTCTTGAATACTTCTGTTTGTGAATTGGATTGTAGAACATTACTTCAAAACATTCCATTGAAGTCGAATGTGTCCTTGGAAATTTCAGTTCTTAATGTTGCAGGAGAGAGCGTTCATGTCTCGAAAACAATTGCGCTGGCATCCAGCAATACAGCACCTTCCTTTTCCTTGCTGAGATTCGTACAAGTGTTGGAAGACGCAGGTCCAGCAAACCTACCTTACACGGCATACGATATCACAACAGGGTCTCCTGAGGAGAGTTGGCAGAAGTTGACCTTCAGTGTTTCAACTGATTTGCCTACTGCGTTTCTCCGAGCTCCTTTTATCGCTTCAAATGGAACATTGTTTTTCGAAAGCAAGCCTAACTTCAATGGCTACGTGAATTGCACTGTCATTTTGGCTGACAACGGCGGCACTCTATTTGGAGGCGTTGACACATCACAACCGAAGTATCTCAGTATCCTTATTTTGACTGTTAATGATCCGCCCAGCTTCAGACTTTCCATCAACATTGTAAAGGTTGTGGAAGATTATGGCCTCTATGTGAACAATCAATTTGCTTACGACATTACCGCAGGACCAATAGATGAAAGATGGCAAAAGTTGACCTTTCTTGTCTCTTCCATCAATCTTGAAAGCAGAGGAATTTTCAATGTTTTGCCGACAATCAATGGTACCGGCGCGCTCACATTTCAAGGGCTACCTGATACCTCGGGCTCGTCAAATTGGACAGTACAGCTGCAGGACAATGGAGGTGATGTTTACGGTACATCTTTGTCGCAGGTACAGATATTCTCTGTTATTATTCTTCCAGTGAATGATGCGCCGATTTTCACGTTATTACAACCATCAATCAGAGTCACGCAATTATATGGATCGATATCCACAAAGATTGTTTCTGGGATATCTCCCGGCCCAAAAGACGAGAGTGATCAGCTTTTGAGTTTCACTTTGATCAAACTGACGGGAGTACAGAACTATTTCACTGCCATCCCTGTAATTGATTTGAACGGCTATATCACGTTTTCGCGAATTCCGGGCGCTTTTGGTCAAACTAACTGGAGCATACAGCTGCGTGACAATGGTGGGGAGTTGAATGGAGGGATATCAATCACACAGCAGACATTCACTTTCTATTTGTATGGTACTCCAACCTCAGCATATGGTGCGACAATCCAATACCAAGATTCACAAGCTTTCATCATTTGGAGCCATATTGACTTACCTTTCTCTACATCGAAGAGCTCTTACAATGCTGTTACCTCCTTCTCTGTTTCTCTGCATGAATGTTTAGACTCGTGCGCTCTGACGAGTACAATCGAAGTACCTTTGCAGGCATGCAGCAATTATTGCAACATATCCTATCTCGCGAATCCGGGTATCACTTATTCTGTATCAATCGTTGCTCAGAATGATGTCGGACAGAGTGAAGCAATTTTTGCTCGCATATTTGTGCCTGATCTAACTCCCAAGGTAGACTACATCTCTGTTCAAAGCGCAGATATGACTACTGGTACGGGTATGACTGTGATAGTCAGCAACTTTCCTCGGGCACAGGCGAATGAAATTTCTATCAGAATCAGAGATACATACCGGATTTCAAACATAGGAGGATATGACTACACGGAGGCAACTGCGACAACACCATCACTAACTACACTTGCTTTCTCGCTTCCCCCTTGGGATGAAGCACAATTTGTTAACATCTCAATCAGCGTGATTCAGAAACCAAACAAAGCCGTGTTGTTCCAATTTGAATATTACAGGAATTCTATTCCAAGAATCTCATATTTCTTTCCTTCAGTGGGTTCAACAGGTGGTGGACAGATATTGCGGATATCCGTTATCAACATCTTAGATCAGACTCAAAACTTGAGTGCTTGGACTCTGACCTTTGGTAGTGCAAGTACCCCATTGTCGTCGTATGTTCAAGTCTCTTCAAACGAAGGTTTGCTAACAGCTATCGTTCCTGCACAGTCAGATGTCAAGATTGAGTCAACCATCCAGGGCAGACTTGTTTACAAAGCAACATATAGCATGCCTATTCCCTTTGTTTTCACACCCCCGTGTGATTACAACCAGTTCTGTGCGGCAACTAATGTCAATTTCATGGCAAACAATTACCTCCTTCAAAGTGATCCGTCAGGATCTCTGAAATGCGATGCGAAGTACTGTCTCGATACCTTGAGTTTTCCATCACCCAAACTCCTTTCGTTTTCACCAACTAGTGGCAGCCCAAAGGGTGGTGACGTGCTGCAGCTTGCCTTGGAATCTGACACGTTACTGTCAACAAGGCAATCGATTGACAGTGGAATACGGGTGACATATAATGGCGTCGTCCAAACGAGTACAGTTGTTTACAGCTCTTCGAATACGATTGTGAGTTTCTTAGCACCAGAATATCGTTCGGACTGCTGTTGTGGAAGGAATCGCACATGTATCATCTCCTTCGACATCGTTGACAGCCTGCCACGAAGGAGTTTGTCAGTGCAGTATGAGTATATAGCACCTATTGAAGGACCCCCAATCATTACTAACATCTATCCCGGATGTACAAAAGGGAATCCACAAGCATGCAAAAGTACCTCTGTGCTGACTACGCAGCCAATCAAAATTTTGATCGATCTTGAGAATTTTCCTATGGTTAAGGCAGGAAAGGAAGGGGATGTAAACATTCAATTCAACTTGGATTCCAGAGCTTCTGTAACCCTTGTATCCAGTACGATGGCAAAGACTAAAGTACAAATCAGTTGTGTTGCACCTGCATTGGCTGGAAATTACAGTGGGGTGATCTGGTATGACGGATATCTCGTAAGCGATCCTTTCATTCTATATGTAACAAATCCACCCACTCCAGGAGTACAAAGTATCTTTCCAAGTAAGTTCACTGAAGGTGATGTGGTCAGCTTGCAGGCTCGGATGATTGATTATTCATCGAACGTTGTCCTCAACTCGGTCTTGGCTTCAACTTCAGATGGGAAATCGTACTCTTCACAGTTTGAAGTGTCTATAGACGCGAGCTCCAACTCTGCGAGTCTTCGCGTGGTGTTCTCTCAGATTCTTCCAAAGAGCATGTATGTTCTTTCAATATTGGGATCTTATGGCTTGAATGGGCAACATTTCCAGATCGATCTTCAATTTGAAGTATCAGCTGCTCCATATATCGGATACATCTTTCCATCTTCTGGCCCTGTCCTTACCAGCACTTCCGTTGATATGATTCTTTACAACGCAGAAAATTTTCTGAGATCTCAGCTCTACATTCGATTTCTAGGTCAGGTCCTCCGACCCAATTCAGTCCAACAAGCAAGCATGAATGCAAGCATTCTTTACATATCATTTAACACTCCAAGCATTGAAACGATCGGCATCGTGACTTTTTGCATTACCAAGGACCAGAATACTTGTGAAGATGTATATTCCTCGTTCCAAACTACTCCCCCAACCCCTTCCCTCTCACGACGAGCCTCATCGACGGGAGGGACTGAGATCCAGGTAGTTTTCTATGGCACAACCGACAGTGTCCTAGTTTATGCATACGTGCCATCACAATCTTCTGGACTCAAGCGAACACAATTGACCTCTCAGCGCATATCAAGTTGTACATCCTCAAACATCTGCTTCCAGACTTTGAAGATAGTCACCTTGCCATACACGAGTGGTTCTACTATGTTAGCTGAAATCGTGAATGGTGATAATCGGCAGAACTTCACAATCTCCTACTTTGTTAAACCCGGGGTTTTGTCGATTCGGCCCACATCAGCAACAATCAAGGGAGGGGATATCATTGAAGTGTCTTTGCAGAATTTTCCCATCATATCCACTGCTCTTGATGTTCAAGTTTACTTGCGCAATGTTCCTTCCAAGGTATCGAGTGTGAATGGGTATAATAGTTTCAGTTTAATCGTTCCAAGATCAGATCTCGCGACGGATACGCAAATCTCCATTGTTCCTTCGATATCTCTCGCCTCGGGCGAATTGTTGGATATGACCGTTCAAGTTCCATTCTCGTACACATCTCCTGTCGCAAGAGTTCTGAGCTTGTCCCCATCGCGAGGTTCGATGGAGGGTGGCACGGTTGTGAGATTAACAATTTCACACTACCCCAAACAATTGAGAACAACTGATATCACTATAAGCTTTGGGTTGAGTCAAAAAGCCGCTGTTTCCAGCATTGTCTACTCCGATGCAAGTTCTGGAGAAACTATCCTTGAGGCAATCATGCCGGCTCTTACATTTGGTATGCAGCAGGCAACTGTAGCAGTCAATGATGGATATCAGTCATCAACATTTTTGACATATGAGTCATTTGATTCTAGCATTCGTACTACGTGCAACCGAACTGGAATGTCAAGTTTGGACCAGAAAATAAAGATTGATGGGGATTGCTCAGGTGGGATAGATGGAAAGGATATTCTGCTCTTATCAGTGACCAACCTTGGAATCATAACCAGCTCTGATCAAGTTGCAATTCAATTTGGAACCGAATATGCGACGGCTTCTGCACTGGTGAATTCAACAGTACAGAAGACGTACTTGCTTGTTCTCGTACCGAGTACGAACATGTATAGGAAATCTACATTAGTAGATTTGACTATCACTAACATCTTGAGCACAAAACGACAAGGAATTCTTAAATTTCGCTATGTTGCTGCTCCAAGCTTGACGACAGCTGTTTTCAATGCGTTTGGATCATCCATCTCAATTTCGTTCTCTGATCGAACAAATATCTTCTCCTTGGAAGCGTCCAAGCGATCCGATTGTAATGTGTTCCTTGATACCTCGACGATTGACAACATAGGAAAATCTGCTTCATGTGCATGGACTGATGAAATGACACTGAGCATTATCTTGTCGTATGGTGCAAGCATTGTTCCAAGTGATAGAATCTCGATCAATCCCCAGGTTTTGAAAGACAGCAGCAACCTCGGACCATACTGCAGTGGTCAAGTACAGGTTGTAGCTCCCATAGGTCTGAAGAAACCTGTCTTTCAATTGGTGGGTCCTCAAAAGGTTGGGCCCTGTGACACTGTTGAAATCATGGCGCTAGGATCTTTCGCCAGACCCCTTATATTTACTTGGAAGTGTCTAAAATGTCAGCAGGTGACTCAGACGAAGTTGTCCCTCACCTCTGCCGATAGGATACTGCTGTCAAGCTCTGATTTTGTGGATGCAGCGGGGACTTATGAAGTTCAGGTCTACGGAATCAACTTCCTTGGGGCAGTGAGTGAAACTCTTGCCTTGCAATTTGAAAAGACTTCTCTCCCCGTTCCGGTGGTGAGCCTCTCAGGGTTCGGCTCGTTTTCAAAGTTCGACGACGTCATATTTGAAGCTAAGACAGCGTTTTCAAGTTGCAGCCAGGAAATGGAGCTCCAATTCCAATGGACCCAACTTCAGTTGGAAGGCCAAATCACAAACAATCATATCCCAAATAGTGCACTTGGTCGTAATTCACCAACGTTCTTCCTTCCTAAGGGCACACTCAGTATTCCTGGACCATACTCTCTACGACTGCTGGTGATCTTGCCAACCAACCCACCTGCAATCACGAGCGCGGACGTGTCGTTCCACCTGATGGCGTCGGATCTGGTTGCTGTGATTCGAAATGGCGATTCCAAACTTGGGCGAGGGAGCTCACATCTGTATCTCGATGGAAGCGGCTCCTACGACCCTGACGTCCCAGCTGGTGCTTCGGATCCTAATCTTCAGTTCCAGTGGTCCTGTCAAGTGTCTGGCATGATATGCAGGGACAGAGTCAGTAACGTACCTTTCACATTCCCCAATCAACCAGGGCTAAGCATGTACACCGAGGGGTTTGATGTCAACGTGAACTATCAATTCACATTGGAAGTCAGCAAGGACTCAAGGACAGCGACGAGCAGCGTGGTCATGGTGTTCGTGGAGGAATATGTTCCAGCCACTTCGATCACATCCCTCTCAACCATCTTGGTCAAAGGGAAGAATTACCTGAATCCAGATCAAATCATGAATCTCCTTGAAACGTCTTGTACGTCTTGCACCTCGTTTTCATGGGAGTTGCAAGATCAAGAAAACATTTTCACTCTATCCGGAACTGCCAATGCAATCTTTATTCCACCGTCAGTATTTCTGGAAGGTCGAAAGTATACAATTGTTGTGAACAGCTATCAGGAACCCCAAGGGAATCAATTCTGCAACGGACTATGCAAAGGCTCGGCATTCTTCGATTTCGTGATAAACCGCGCGCCTTCTGGAGGAACCTGCACAGTGAATCCAACAGTTGGATATGAAGTGCAGACAAGGTTTCGAGTTGAGTGTGGAAGCTTCTCTGATTCAGACGTTCCACTCACGTTTCAATTCAGCTATCAAATAAGCAGCAGCTCAGAGTCGCCCTCATTTGCGCCATCACAAACGCCTATTCGTGACCTCTACTTGCCTTCAGGCCAAGCAAACATCACCGTCATTGTTATTGACAGCCTTGGTGCTCAGTCTTTGTACAAGATCAATACAATATCTGTACTCCCAATATCAACTATCGCTCCAAACGACGCTCAAGCCGCGCTGGATACATTTATTCAACTTGGAAAGACCTCTGATTTTAGTAATTTCGCAGTTTCCTTGACGCAAAAATTATCCCGAGAGAGTCAATCCACAGGATCTCGCCGTTCGCTCTTTTCTTTATCTGATAATGTGCAAATTAGGAGTAACACGATCGTGTCACTCTTTACAATCATTGCAAAACAAGCTCCAACTGCAGGAAATGTTCTGGAGACATTGAGTACTTTGACATTTCTCGTGAATAGTACAGAAGGTTTGACTATGGAAGCGACGATCGCTGCAGTTGGTGTCATCTACAACACTACAAGTTTGATTCCTCAAGTGATAGGTCCAGACTTTAGTGATACAGACTTGCGTAACGTCCTGTTCACGGTCTCAGTGATTGAATCGTTGATCTTTCAGCAAATAGGATTGACCAGCTCTCAAGAGATCACGTTACTGCAATTACTCAAGGAAACCATTCGTATTGCTGTATCGTATTCCACCTATGACTTTGTTGATCCAACACAGAACCTTTTGTGCAACTCTATTTGCATGTCAACAGACACTCAAATTGTGGTGTATAAGCAGAAGTTCGCTCAAGGAAAGCAAGTGGTGGCGAGCTCGGTGCCATATCAATTTTCTACAGTGAACATTTCCGATAGTGACTCTTCATTGAACTCTGTCAGAGATGTTCTGCTCGTTTATTTCTATCTGTGGAGAAATCCTTTCAACGTGCAAGCAGAAAATTTTATTTCGGACATGTACAGCTTTGCAGTTGTGAGTACAGATGCGACTATCAATGAAAATTTGCGAGGACGCCAAATAATCTTCACAGCAGAAATTCCTGTAAAGAGTGTAGATCTGACGCACGTACTTTGGAATTGTGTGCTGTACGACGATGGATGGAGCAAAGAATTCTGTTCACCTACTGACTTTTCAACAAACAAAGCATCTTGCACTTGCGCACAAAATGGTTTGATTGCGGTCTCAATTTCAAACGACGATGTTTGCGGTAAGATCTATTGTTATGAATTTTGAAAGTTCTAATGACATGTAGGTGATGGGCGAGTTACTGGTCAAGAACAATGTGATGATGGAAACAAGAACAGCGACGATGGATGCAGTCCCGATTGTCGTCAAGAACAATCTTTCACATGTGAAGCAGGAAACAGTGTACTTGCAAGCCGATGTACTCCACTCAAAACAAAAGGTTGCTCCCCACAAATGTTGGGGACTGATTGCGCACAGATGTGTTTAGTACAACTAGTAGACTCCGACTGTCCACTCCCGCCTGTTTTGCCGATTCAGAAGCAAGTCGAATCGATAGATGGTTCTCAGGGTGGAGAGATTCTGTTACAGTCTTGGGGCTTGTTGGTTGTGCCTGAGATGGCATTTGAAGGCATCATCGACATCTCTGCATTCCTGTATGACCAGGTCCCGTTGGCACAAACTTCAGAACGCGGTCCAACTATCGTTCTTGGCCCAGCAGGAACAACTTTGGTAAAGCCCTTAACCTTGTCATTGGATGTATCGTCATTTCCTGAGGAGCAGAGGTCATCGTGCGCACTATACTCATTGAATGGAGCTACTTTGACATGGAACTACGTTGAAAGTCAGGTCGATCTTGAAAGTAATCGCTTACAAAGTAGCATCAATCAACTTTCCGTATTTGCGATCCGAATGAAGCCTACAGCGGTTCCAAAGAACCCTCCGCCATCAACAACTCCGGAGACATCTGCAAATGCAAGCGCCTTGATTCCAACTTCCTCCGAACAGGTGCAAAAGGCTGGGTCAACTTCAATCATCATCATTGCTGTCTCCGGTGTTGTAGGACTTGGTGCATTGATACTAATTGGTTATCGAAGAAGGGTGATATTGAGTATCTTGACTAGACTTGTATCAAGCAAGAAGGCCTCAAATGAATCGCGAAATGATTCAACACTTGACTCTGATCAAGGCACTATATCAATTCAACTTCCACCGGAACCCAATGAAAGATCCGCTCAAGATCTCAAAGCTGATCCCCCAAGCCAAGATGGAGTGACATTACGGTCTCAAACACACTATTTTGCTGCAGAATTGACCACAGATATGGAATGCACAGGTCAGAATTCTGCACTTGTTGGAGCCGGAGTAGATAGCCAGGAAGATTCAGCCAAGAAGGACGTCAGCGAGCAGCCGGCGAAGCAAAATTTCCAGGAGCAGCAGGAATTGCTGATGCTGCACCAGCAGCAACAACAGCAACAGCTTCAGGAGCAGCAGCAGAAGCTTCAGCAGCAGCAGCTCTTGGCAAAGCTGCAGCAGCAACAGAAGCAGCAGCAGCATCAGCAGCAGCAGAAGCCAGCAGTACCAGCCCAGGTCGATATCAGCAACAAAAAGCCAGTGCTGCAGGAGCAACAACAGCAGGAAGCGGTACAAGCCCAGGTCAAGGTCAGCGAGAGCCAGCAGCAACCAACACAGCAGCAGCAGCAGCAGCTGTCACAACTACCACCAGCCCAGGTCGACGTCAGCGAGAAGCAAGAGCAGCAGCAGCAGCCGGCTGCGGTACCATCCCGGGTCGAGATCGATGAGAAGCAAGAACCAACACAGCAGCAGCAGCAGCAGCAGCAGCAGCAGCAGCAGCAGCAGCAGGAAGCGATACCAGTCCAGGTCGATGTCAGCGAGAACCAGCAGCAACCAACACAGCAGCAGCAGCAGCAGCAGCAGCTGTCACAACTACCACCAGCCCGGATCGACGTCAACGAGAAGCAAGAGCAGCAGAAGCCAGCAGCATCAGCCTGGGTGGAGGGCAGTGAGAAGCAAGAGCCAGCGGGACCAGCCCGGGTCGATGTCAGTGGACAGCACCAGCAGCACCAGCAGCTGTCACAACTACCAGCCCAGGTCGACATCAGCGAGAGCCAGCAGCAGCAGCAGCCGGCTGCGGTACCAGCCCGGGTCGAGATCGATGAGCAGCAGGAGCCAGCGGTACCAGCCCAGGTCGACGTCAGCGAGAGCCAGCAGCAACCAGCGCAGCAGCAGCAGCCGGCCCAGGTCGACGTCGGCGAGAAGCAAGAGCAGCAGCAGCAGCAGCAGCTGTCACAACTACCAGCCCGGATCGACGTCAGCGAGAGCCAGCAACCAGCAGTACAAGCCCAGGTCGACGTCAGCGAGAACCAGCAGCAACCAACACAGCAGCAGCAGCAGCAGCTGTCACAACTACCACCAGCCCGGATCGGCGTCAGCGAGAAGCAAGAGCAGCAGAAGCCAGCAGCATCAGCCTGGGTGGAGGGCAGTGAGAAGCAAGAGCCAGCGGGACCAGCCCGGGTCGATGTCAGTGGACAGCACCAGCAGCACCAGCAGCACCAGCAGCAGCAGCAGCAGTCGGTGGAATCACCCCGGGTCGAGGTCAGCGAGCAGGTGGCAAAGCAGCTGGTATCGAATGAAGGAGTTTCTTTGTCTGCGAATGATTCATCGTTGCCTGTGAGAAAGAAGACTGGTTTAGTAGCAAAGCTGATCGAAGAGCACAACCGGAAAGTTTTGGAAGTAACCAAGCCAGTACCAACAAACAAATTGAACTTCACGTTTGGAAATCAAGACGAAACGATTTCTGAAGTAGAATCATTGAAAGACTTGAAGCAACAAGGCGAAAAGCAATCACTGAAAGAGCAAAGCGGCAAGGAGGTTGGTCTATTTGATTGTTTTGTCACGCATATCCTAACATTTCTGCTAGGAGATAAAAGATGTCAAAGACGTTATTCAGACTGTTGCAGCGACTAGTTCCAAGGATACCGCAGGAGCAAAAAGTCTCGCGGAACAAGCAGCTTCCGAGGTACTCAGAAATATTGTCTTATATGACACATAACCATCTCATTTCACAGCAAAAGACTGAGGTAAGGCTACTGCCGTCAGAACTAGGGAACCCCGAACTACTTGAGGAGAGGTACGTAAAGCACTCCCGTTGCTGCCTTTCAACGATTCGAGACTTTCATCCGTGGCTTATACTGAGATTGAACACAGATTCCTTATCAAAGATGACGAGGAGTACAAGAAGGTGGCAGCGCAGAAGCTGCGGCAGTTGAGAGAAGAAGGCGTCTTGAGCGGTGCTTCGGCTCAGTTTGCGTACTACTCTGGTCCAAAAACTCTTGAAGCATCACACGACTCGCATGCAGCGGATGAGACTCTAAAGAGACAGAAGAAGTTCCAGACGATGAAGAAAGTGTTTGAGCACGTCAGGAAATAAGATTTTTCTCTTTTATCAACCGAGTGAGCAACGAGAGCTCTATAGATCAGGTATTTCCTTTTACACTGCATATATCAAATAAAAACAGAGTTTTTCAACCACTTATGTCATTCTTATCCCTCTGTTCATTCATAGATGAAGTAGATGAAACAAACATTCACGCTCTAGCTTCGCATTCATCAGTCATTGAATGTAACTCGACCTCCTTCAGCTGAACTCTCCACCCTCTGTAACCGAACACCGGCTGGTGGTTGCTCGCTACTCAAGTTGGAGCAATCAAACCCGGCGACGGCATTCTGAACCAAGGCCTGCACAAGGTCAACGTCCCCGTCCGTGAACTTGCGAATCATGAGGCCCTTGGCGTTCTTCTTGGACGAGAGCGATCGGAACAGCGACTCGTCGCCATGGTTCTTCCAGGCCCTCGACTGAAGGTGGGCAAGGAGGCCAGTCTCGGCATCGAGGAGACGATGGCTTCCTAACTCAGCTTGACCTGCAGAGAGTTGAGGCTCTGAGAGGACGTCGAATCATCAGTTACAATTCATGGCATGCACGCGGGATCTTTCTTCAAGGCGATTAGTTAGCACCAGCACCTGAGGCGAGCAGTCAAGAATGAAAAAGCCGTTAGGATCACCGCACCCCAAAGAACTCTTCTGTTCGATTGTTCATAGCAGACTTGACAACAGACATCAATGCAGGGTCTGCACGTCAAGTGAGTACAGGAACAAAGAGGTCACGGCCGGCTGAGACCTGAGTTACCCGCTTGCTCATCAGGCTCCTGGTCCTTAGTTCCTCGTTTCTTGGTGCTGACAGACGATACCAGGGGAATCGCGAGGATAGAGACTGACTTGATTCTTCGATTGCCTGCATACGGATCGTGGTAGTCTTGATCGTTGGCAGCATTGTTGTTGATGTAGAAAGGCTGCTTCATGGTGGAGTAATTATCAACAACGACATTGAAAATGCCCGAGCCTCGAAAGGGGAACCGGATCGGCTCTGACTCGCCTCGAACAACCGTCCACGCGTCGCTGCCATCAAAGATATATACACTGTAGAGCATGCAATGTATCCTCCGTTCCAATTCAGCTGTAAGTGCTCTGCATCATGTAAGTCTTGGTTACATCTCTTTACGGCAATTACTCGATAAAGAGTGCCGGGGCCGAAAGCTTTCCCGTATTGAGAGAAAATTCGATTCTCTTCTTCTGAAAATCTGCAATCTTGCTGAACAGACGCAACCTGTGAGGATTTTGATGCAAGTAAACATGCAGGCGGATCATAGCAACATGATACCTCCAAGCATTTTCGAGAGAATGAGAAATGCGCGAACAGAGACGAAACAGCATAACCTACAGAACCTTTGAGTGACACATTGTCCTGCAGGAAAACTCTTGACGTACCTCCTCCTTTCGATTAAAGTTGGGCACTTCTTTCCCCTTCGCAGAAGAACCATCTCTGACAAGTTCGACGACCCCAAACGGTTTTCCATTCGCTCGTCGCAGCGGACAACAGAGAGAATGTTGTGGTGACAAGTTCAAGAACTCAAAGATGCTGTCGAAAAAAAGATGAATCACATCTCAAGCGCTACTGCCTGCATACAGAGAACACTCACTCTTTGTTGACAAACTTGTTTTCACTGATTTTGGAGTTTTTCAAAACTCGCTCGTTCATGGCCCGCCAGGCGAATCCTGATTCCAAGTCTGCAATGAACGACTTGTCTTGATAGAAGAGCTCAAAAGTCATTTCTCGTTCTTCATGCAAGTCAAGACCAAACAGGAGGCAAGGCAAGACCCCACCATCTAGCAGGTAGATCAGGACCTGATTGGCATCGAAATTTGCAAGCATCCACTTCTGCGTCTTCTGCACCATATTGAAGCATACCCTGTTGTACAACATCTTCAGCTGCATCAACCGGCCTTTCCCTGCCAACGCACTTGGGCCCGTGATTGAGCAAGCCTGGAAGCAGATCCACCACCTGCAATCACTTTCACCACCAGCCTGTCGTTCGCAATAATTTCCTGCGTGGGAAAACCCGAGACTTGAGGTTGGCGGTCTTGTTTTTCCACTTGGCACAGGAGGTTGAGCAACAATCCTGCAGCCTCATCAGCATATGCTTGTCTCGGTGCGAACGAGCTACCTCGGAGGAACTCAATGACGAGGTCAAGGATTTCCTTCGACCTCTTGCTGAAAGGTTGAGGCCATGTGCAAGTACTCTCAGGACTTGACTCAGCCAGTCGAGCCACTTGCAGGACTCCCACTACTTTCCCACTGAAACAAGAATCTTTAGAGAGAAGCAGACGGAGCTAGCTAGTCTCACTTCGAGCCAATAACAGGATAGCACAACATGCTGCCAGCTACCAACGATCTCATCGGTCCAGACGCGTTCCCCTGACTGGTCAAGCAGCGTGAGAAGATTTGTCTGATGCTTCCTGCTCCGTTTGCACCTTGAAAGAAAACCGTCCTCCCTGCGGTAGCCGATTACCATTGGAATGATGAAAGGAAGTATAGCAAGTCTGGATACCAAGATCTGGGCTCAGCTTTGTTGTGCAAGACTTTCCCCTTGCTGACTTCAAGTTTCTTTGCCCTCAGGGCAACAGCTCCTACGAAGTGCTCAAGGTCGGCCTGCTCATTGAAAGCGCTGGGAGACCTGCTACCGAGTCCTGCGCCTCCGTGGCAGCGAAACCAGTATCATGGCACTTGTACGCGTCGAGATCTTCTTTCTGGGCCCCTATGAGACAAGAGTTGAACCTTGTGACCTCACCTGCACTCCGACAGGAACCCATCGCAGAACTGACCACAACAGTCATCGAGTTGCCGTGACACGAGTGAGGAGTCAGGCTTACGTTTGTTCTCCTCGTCATACAGATACAAACATGCAAAATCGGCCTGATCGCCGACGGGTCAACAATTGCAAGAAAATTGCAGAATCACCTCAAATAATTTGCGAGTCATTCTTTGAACTTGTGCCTGAAATAAAGGACTTGAACTTTCCTTGTCTCACAGCCATCGCATTCACCATGCTTTCTTCGATGTTGTATGAGAGAGTTGTCTTCTTGAACAACTTGACAGCGTACTGATGACACAAAACAAAGGGACAGTAAGATCCTACTGACATGATTGCACAATGATCAACTTTTATCTCGGACATGTATTTGTTCAAAGAATTCTTGTGCCGCTGTGGAAAAAGGAGATCAAGGAGCAAATTCCTCTCACAGGTCAAGATACCTCGACTTCCTTGTGAACCCTAGCAAACTCATTGCAGTTCCTTAGAAAGGTTGCAACTTCATTTGCTATCTTCACTGATCTGATCTGATCTCATGCTTTCAGCACCTTTAGGTTGAGAAAGATGAATTGTATTCGCCTCATCTTTCTTTCCGAAGTTAATCCCCGTAGTGGAGTTGAAAGCCAGCAAGACTCCCTCTAGCGATCCATCGACTGTCATATCAGTCAAAAGCAGCAATTCCTCGTCCTGTCTTGCCGTGCAGACATGGGGCAGCACACAAGTTCCGAACGTCCAAATCTGAGCAATTCAAAGTATCCACATCGGGTGAGATCGACTTGATTGCAAGGAGTTCAGCAGAAGAGGAGACAGCGAGCTATCAAACCCGGGATGCTGTCTCGCTGTCTTTCACGATGAACAAGGTTCGATCGATCGCCACCTGTGGCTGTCTGTCAAGTGGCAGTCATCTCTTCAACACACCGGACCTTCTGGGCTGCACTCTTTCTAAGGGAAGTGACACTCAGCTGTTCGAAGCGTCTCAGCCCAAGGAGACACTCACAAGGAATCACCTGGTGTGCAGGAATGAATTTCTGCTCCTCTATCAGGTAGGGTGAAACCCTGTCAATCACGTCATGTCAAGTCACGATTGTCCCCCTCCGTTTCCCCACCTGGCACCCGCCGGAGTCTCCAGGAAGGGAACGATCTCGACATGCTTCATGCATGTCAGAGCAGATCAGCCACGTGAACATTCCATCACCTCACATTCCAGCAACGTCCTGATAGCTGAAACCACTGATCCCATGACGCTGGAAGACATCGTCACAAACGTCAATCTAGCAACATTCATCTCTCACCTGTACTCGAAAGTCTCAATCTTGTTGAGCCAGTTCGACGCAGATGATTCTCGTATGTCAATGTTCTGGAGAGCTACTCCCACATGCTGAACTAAAGTTTCAATCACCCACACCTGACGAGCTTTGCTCAGTCTGACACCACAACACAAGAAGGAAAGAACGTCAGTTTTGTCGAATCGAGAGTTCAAGCCTCGCTTCATGACCTGAATCGAATCATCTTTTGGGCATTCGGATACACAATAAAGTTACCTGGAGAATGCCTTCAACCTCTTGATCTCTGTTGAAAGCTGGAACCATCAGACAAGACGCGGGCTCTCTTGGTTTTGCATTCGAAGTCTGTGTGAGATCTGAAGGGTTTGTGACTTCGTCATCATTCCTCAGTATCGATCGCTTCATGAGGGCCGCCTGAAGTCGGAACATGAATCCAGAACAAGAGGAAGGAATGACTTGCCTTGTACGCGTCACTTTCCGGGGGCACCCTGATAGCTTTCATGCCGTTCTGAGGTTTCCAGAGCAAGGTGATTTCTCCTGCAAAAGTATGAAGGCACTTGAGAGCAACATTGCAGATGCTTCACTTTGACTCTTGTCCCTGATTAGAAGCCTTGTTGTAAGTTCATGCCCCCCCATCCTCATGAAAGATCTGTCCGTCTGAAGCAGACGTTTCAAACTGATCGCCGCTGATCGAGCTGTAATCAGATTCAAGTCAGCATCATGAAACCATGAGAGGAATGAGCACCGAGATCATATTTGTCTCTTTGTTGGTGAAGATCAAGGACCTCCTTGTTCAAACAAGCCTGATGAAAGCTTAGTAAAGCTTCAGCACAGGCAAAGTTCCTCCACCGATGCTGACGTGTGTCGTAGCCTGTTGATAGACAGGACGTGGGCCTTGAAAGCCGTCAGGAGGAAATACATGGCAGCTTCAGGCCTGGGCTCACTGTACACGACATGCCCACATGGCGAAGCAACTCAGAGGATAGCTGCGAAAGAATGAGATAAGAAGATAGCAAAAACGAATAGGATAAATCTCAGACTCGCTTCTTTCATACAATATACCTGAACATCTTCAGAGCTGAACTCAACCGTGCTTGTTTTTGTTGGGAGATTCGCGTCTGACTTTTCATAACTTTGTAGCAAGGATGGTACAGATGTCGAGCACCAAAAAGCAAGTCAAGACATCAGAATGCTTTAAACGTGTAAGGACAAATAAACAAACATCTTACTTGAGCTTGTTGACCGAAACCAGGACAACGGAGAGTCTTTCCTCAAACTCGTGTTCTTCCGATTTCCAAAGACTCCCTTGGGTCATTTTGCAGTCAGAAATCAGATATAAGGAGGTGAGAATTACATACCAGCGATCTCATTAAGGGGATAAGCAGCTACCATAATGCTTCTCAGAGATCTAGAATTTTCTCCATCTCGAATAAACCTGTCAGAGTGATTAGTGGATCTGCAGAATTGTTGAACAAGCAACATACACTCTTCCCTCCCTCTCCTCCCAAGTTACGCCTATCAGATCGATGTCCATGTTCATGACTGCCGTCTTTTCACTCAGAAACAGCCTCTTAGACTAGGTTCATTCGTCAAAAAAAGATGTCAGCCCCAACCCACAATCACCTTCCCAGTGCGAGCGGCATTCAAAACAATCCCCTCGTTTGCATCTCGTCTACTCTCCTTGGACACCAATCAACGAATGCAAGCTTATGAATGTCATCTGAAATACCTTAGTTATCCTTCTTTGGACCAATGTTCCATGTTGAACTGCTTGGATGGTTGCGCCATTTTCGGCAATAGCAACAATGAGAATGCTCGTGGCCTGAAATGGTTGAGCTGAAGATCAAGGTTTTATGGATCACCTGGCAAACAATATTCTTCTTGCTCCACCTTGATGCATCTAAGATAAACTTCTCGATGGTGTCAAACTTTCCCAAAGGCAGAAGATCTAGAACAAGAACATAAGCTCCGCATATAAACTTTGCAAGGACCTTTGAGAATAGACGACCTCTCTTCCTGTTTCTTCGAGTCGTTGTCTGTATGAGAGTCTTCTTCCTGCTTTCTAGAAATTCGCACCAAAGATATTTTCAATGAAGGTCACATGAATACCGTGTAATCGATGGAAATTCCTTGTTCGAATTCCTGTGTATGGGAAGAATCCTGGAGTTCCGCCGTTGACTGTAAGGTCTTGCTAGAGGCAACCAGCTTCTCATCATCCCATACCGAGATCGCAGACTGAGAGAGTAACGCGTTAATAGCTAGAACAGGATACTTATGGTAAGGTCAGGATACTTATGTCTGTACCTGAAATTGCCTCAAGCTCGCCGTCTTCTCACCTGCCCCGCGCTGCATGTCTTGTTTGCTTTCAGGAACCTCAGCTGCCGACAAAGGCTGTACTCCGACAACTCGCCTCCACCTCTCAAGCTCGCTGGCTATCAGACAGAATCAGACAGAAGCTGCTCTGGTTTAGCGACAGACTCACTCTGAACATCAAGATCTTTGCGAAGCATTGCACACTTGTTGCTCAGCAACTTGATCATCTTCTCCTGCTCTGCGCATTGTTTGAGCAGGCCATCTTTTGTCCGGTCGTATGCTGACGTAGAGATATCCGAAGGGACTGAGTTTGACCGAAAGAGGGGGAGAATCTCGTCGACTACCGACTGTATTCGCTCCAGTCGTTCCATCGCCTCTAGCCTCCTCTCCTTATCCATCAGTAGGATCAACTCACTCAGCGCTCTGACCTCTCGAATGAGTCTGAGCTGAGCAGGCAAAGAGCTGTCATCGATGCGGCTGCTCGAGCTCTTCACCAACCTTGTCGCCTTCCTGTCTGCCTGCGGAAGCAAGACCTTCCCCCACCCCCGAGCCATGTTAATGTAAAAAGCTCTGCCAAGCCGTTGACAAGAAAGGATACCGCACCACGCTCCTCTGAGTCCGCCCCAGAATTTTCAGTTTGACAAGTGGCTCAGCCTTGACTCAGTGGCCCCTCCGAGCCCGGCTGAGTCCGCGGCCGACGGTCACGGTACACGGCAGCCTGTGGGCCCGGCCGGCAGCGGCGATCCGATCGGACTCTTATCCGAGACCTTAAATTCACAAACAATGGTTCGGATTACGTAGAATACACTCTGATCGTAATCGAAGATACCGTAGTCGATTTCCTAACCAAGTTGTATCATCCGGTGGCAGTGGCGGCAACCCACCTTCAAGCGACAGAGCTATTCTAGGTGGTGGTGCTGGTGGCCTGATTCAACAATCCAACGTTACTATGCGTGCTGGTACCTACATTGTAAAAGTTGGCCCCGGAAGAGGTGGCCAACAGTCGAATGCTGGGGGCCAGGATTCGACAGCTCCATCGTTGGTGCCAATATGAATTTTGTTGCAATTGGTGGCGGAATGGGTGGAAGTGGTGCCGTACAAGGTTCAAACGGTGGATCTGGCGGTGGAGGTGGTGGTTACAATATATTATTGGGCGCGGTCACTGCAATACTAATATGATATGTTTATACGTAACTGCTGGTCAGGGGTACTGACTCGGTTGAAAGAAGTTCGGCTTGCTTAAGTTACGACTGATACGAACTTGAACTTGAAACGTGATGGATTGTATGCAGTAGCGAAGTTAGAGCAGGTAGGTAATTGACTTCTGAGATAAGAGTATTTATAAGCAGAGCAAGGATAGGAAGATAACAGAGACTGAAAGGATAGGAGAAAGAAAAAGATTAAGAGATAGTGAGAAAGGAAGAGAGAAGAGAGAGAGAATGAGGAGAAAAGAAAGAGTGAGAAGAGAGGGAAGAGAGAGAGAGAGAGAGAGGAAGACAGGACCCCATGCTTATATACAGATAACCAGGGGTATTGTCCAGCCCGAGGATGCTTTCTCTGGTCATTCCATCGAATAGTCGGAATGGAGTACCGTACCGTTCCAGAACGGTTACAATTTCTCAGTTTTTGGGCTCGGCAAGTCTGGGCTCTATATAAGATCCATGTGATCCGTCGAACGTCTGCGCTGTAAGTTTTGATCAAGTCATGAGTCGGGCCCGGGGGGCTGAGGCCCGGGGCCCGGGGAGGGGTGAAAAAACTTTATTTGACTGAAAAAGAAGGACAAACCGAAGCAAACAAAGGAGGGGGAGGTTAGGAGAAAGAAAAAGATTAAGAGATAGTGAGAAAGGAAGAGAGAAGAGAGAGAGAATGAGGAGAAAAGAAGAAGAGAGGGAAGAGAGAGAGAGAGAGAGAGGAAGACAGGACCCCATGCTTATATACAGATAACCAGGGGTATTGTCCAGCCCGAGGATGCTTTCTCTGGTCATTCCATCGAATAGTCGGAATGGAGTACCGTACCGTTCCAGAACGGTTACAATTTCTCAGTTTTTGGCGGCTCGGCAAGTCTGGGCTCTATATAAGATCCATGTGATCCGTCGAACGTCTGCGCTGTAAGTTTTGATCATGAGTCGGGCCCGGGGGGCTGAGGCCCGGGGCCCGGGGAGGGGTGAAAAAACTTTATTTGACTGAAAAAGAAGGACAAACCGAAGCAAACAAAGGAGGGGGAGCCAACAAAAAAACTAATCAAAATTTGACAAGGCTAATCAACGCGTGATGCCGTAAGAAGTGCTCGCAAGTCAGACGCCATGATGCAGCGGAGGAAGGGGAAGAAGAGCTTCGTGTAGGAGGAAGCCCAACTGTACGAAGATGAACGAAGTCGACGAGGATGCATCGCAGAGAGACAAGACAGAACAGCGTGCAAGAGCTCGCTTCGCTATGTCGACTAGTCTACTTGCAGGCTCTCAACAGGAGCCAATAGAATCGAAAGCAAAATTGCTAGGGAGACAGATTCATCTGATTGACGCACATGGCAGCCTCGTCCGGTTTCCTGAGGGAAAAGCAGACGTGCAAGAAAGAACAAGGGCAGGCAAGGGATTCGAAATCGCTTTCAAGACCATTCGGAGAGACAATGAAAGCTCTTACGATCCGGAGACTCAGCTGAACCCTTTGAAGCTCATCGAACAAAGGAAGCTACGGCAAGAGGCGGTAGAGGCCAGTCGCGAAGTGTTGCAAAACATCATCGACAGTGCGCTGAATGGTGGAAGGAAAATCAATTCTGAATCCATACAGTCACAACTTGTCAAGAGAATCCGGCGGTACAAACCGAACAGGGAGAGATTTCAATCGAGAGCGCTTTATTGCCTGGATCTGCAATCTCCTGTAAGGTTGTGTGCAATCGCTATAGTAGAAAGCAAGATCTTTCATGGGGTAGTCACTTTCTTCATTTTTCTGAGCACCCTGATCTTGGCCTTCAACGACCCCCTGAAAGCCACATACTTTCCAGTCTCATCCACCACAAAGCTTGAAACGTCTGACTACTTCAATTTCCTGTGCACTTTCTTCTTTCTTTTCGAGGTATGAGTTGGTGCATGCCTTCCACAACTCCTTATTGACGTTGACAAACTAACAGTTGGTTCTGAAAATCCTCGCACATGGGCTGGTGCTGGGTGGGAAAACTTACCTTGCAGATGGCTGGAATGTGTTAGATGCGTTTCTCATCTTGTTTGGACTGCTGGACATTTTCATAGCTGGAGGCATCGCTCGAGTTAACGCTCTGCGTTGTTTGCGAGCGATCAGAGTCCTTAGAGCCATTCGATTCTTCCCGAGCTTGCGATTAGTAGTCGATCTTCTCGCTCATTCTTCGATTCTTCTGTTCTATGTCTTCATCCTCATCTTTGGCGTTATCCTCCTGGTCACAGTGATATTCAATCAGATCTTCAGTGGTGAACTCCATGGTCGCTGTTACTTGGTTAACGACGGAGAACTGGCGCAAGGGTATGAAAGGCCGTGTGCTGTATTCAGGTGACGTAAGACGGAGACTTGCAAACGTCATGCTAACCTTCTGCTTGTGTCAGTGGGACTAGTGCTCTCTATCATTGCCCGAACTCAGCGTCCTGCTCCAATTGCTGGTCGTGCCTGCCCACCCCTGCGGTGTTGCCTGGACGGCATTACAGCTTTGACAACTTCGGCAACTCGTTGGTGACCTCCTTCCAGATCTTCACATTAACAAAGTCTGTCGACAGAGGAGCGAGCTGGGTATGAGCTGAGACTTGTTCCAGGTGGGGGGATGTCATGAACGATCTGATGGACTCAAATTCCCAAGAGCAAGTGCTAATCTTTCTCTTCTACATCATGATCGGGCCGCTGTTTCTCAGACAAGCCCTGATTGCTGTCCTAGCTCATCGGCTGGAAAACATGAGGAATCAGGTAAGTTGCTACGAAGTGTGCCTCTCGCATCCTCTCACTTGGAGCAAATTTTCCTCTTGCCCACTCTAACTGGTTGCTCGAAGGCGCTGGCAGCCAACGTGAACCGAATCGTGTCGAGGTGGAAAAACATCCGAACAACGGCTCTGCCGTTTCAGCTTTGGGTTGCAAACACACACGAGAAGACGCAGCAGAACTACAAGCGCTACCTTGCGAGCCTGGGCGACAAGCAGGCGGTTGCATCAAAGACAGCGCGGAGGTTGAAGAATCAGCTCCTGTTTCGTTCATGGAACAAATGGTACTCTTCAGTCAAGCAACCCTCACAATGATGGTCCATCGCTGACTCGTGTGCAGGTATGAGACTACAATCTTCTCCATGGTCGTGGGCGAGTATGCAGACAACATATTGGAAGTCGACGAATACCAGGAGGAGCAGAAAATCTCCGTGTTACAACGGGTTCGAATTGTCTGTTTCAATATTGCTTCTTCCAAAAAATTTAACAACGTGATTCTTGTTCTGGTTTGTTGCACCTTTGTCTTGATCATCTTAGAGGTCAATCTTGCTTCTTGCGGGAAGTTCATCGCTGATCGAACTTATTTCTTCAGCACTCGAGGTCAAGCGCGGTTGGCAGGTTGTGGAAGTCTACGAGCCAATACTTCAGATTCTCTGCTGTCTTGCAGATTGGACAAGTGGCGTTGGCCTTCTGCTTCTGTGTGGAGATGGTGGTGAAGATCGTTGGGTTTGGTCCGAAGAAATATCTGAGAAAGTGGCTGAACCTACTGGATGCTGTTGTCGTCATTACTTCCATGGTGGACTTCACTTCGTCAGTCAAGCAGTTCAACTGTCTTCAACATGCTGACGGCACTGACCCCTTTGCTTGCAACGACAAGAACATTGCTGGTAAAGTGTTCCGCACCCTCAGGCTAATCCGCTTGGTCAAGTTGAGACGGATGTTTCCGGTACGCATCTTACAGCAGCTTCAATCCTGACTGTCTTCACAGAGCCTGACAAAGCAAGTCATCGCAGCTGCCAAGTGCTTCAAGTCCTTCCTCGCCATGTGCGGCATCCTTGTTATCACCCTCTTCTGCTTCGCTGTCCTCGGCATGGACTTGTTGGGAGGAAGGCTCTATCGCCGTGACGTCCAGAGGTCTGATCTCGGCCTCAACTCCCTCGTCTTCCTCCGTTGGCCCTCCTACTCCTTCCTCTCCAGCATCCCCGGCGTCCCCTCGTACGTGGTCGGCCTGGACGCGACCAAGGAGAGCAACAGGTTCCTCTTGAAGCCGCTCTACGGGGACGCGTGGAAGGAGAGGCTGGAAAGCAATGGAGTGTCCTCAGGGATCTTCCATGGACGGCTCAACAGCAGCAGCCTTAACGAAAATCTCCTGCTTGACGACTGCTCGACAAACCTCGCAGCGCCATCGTGTGACCTTCTGTTGTGGTCTGATGTGATAGACAACGTACCCACTGGTCGGCCCTTCATCTCCGCCATCGCCCTCCGATCCTCCTTTGACAACTTCGGCCTGTCGTGCCTGACTGTCCTCCAGCTCTTCACCAGGTCAGACTGGTACGACCTGATGTCAACAGCGGTCGAGATCAACGGCTGGGGGATCTCTGCCTACTTTTTCCTCGTGATCCTGGTCGGGAGCTTCGTTCTGCTTGACACCATGACCGCCATCGTCATCGTTGACTTCGGCAGTCACGCGTACTCGTCTGAGGAGGTGAAGGGAGAAGGACAAGAGGCCGATGGGAGAGTGAGGGAGTTCATCCGAGACAAATCTTGTGCTTTGATGCGCCACAGGCTGCGACTGCAAATGCTGACGATGATCAGTGACGATCGATGGCAGAAGAGGTACAACAGCCTACAGATCCTGGCGATAGTCTCGGAGAAGGGAGACGAGGCTGTGATAGGTGAGATTATGCTCTAGTTGTACATGCGCTGAACTATCAACCATGTTGTCTCAAGATGTTCTCCTCTCCAAGGTCGAAGACTCTCACGCTACCATACGTGCCAAGGCCGTCGAGACTTTGGGCAGCCTCGTGCCCGTGGAGCTCAGTGAAGCCTTCCCGGAGGCCTCGCTCAAGGCCCGGCAGCTCCTGCACGACCCGTCGAGGTTCGTGCGCGAGAGCGCAGCAAAGGTTCTCTCCGAGGTGTGCCAGCACGACAACCCGTCTGTGCTGAAAGACCTGGTGGACGCGAGCTCGGACCCGGATCCTTCTGTGCGAGCCGCCGCCATCACCTCCCTCGGGGTGCTCGCGAGCCCTGGAGACTCGTTTGTGATCGACTCGATCATCAAGAGGACGCACGACGCGGACTCGGAGACGATTGAGGTGCTTCAGGCTTGCTTTGCGACGCTGAAGCAGCTGGAAGCGGAGGCGATCTTGCAGCAGCGAGGGATAGGGAACCGAAAGGCAAAGAAGCGAGTGGCGGAAGCCGAGTTCAAGGAGAACGTTCTTGAGAAAGCAAGGCAGTTCCAAAACTTCCTGTGGGAGAAAGCATACAAGTCTCAAACAGCTGCGTGGAAGAAGAAGGAGCAGAAGAAACAGGCAAAGATGGTGCGGCTGATGCTTGCTGCCCAGAAAGAGCACTTGTTCGACGACGAGGTCCTCCATCCTCTCGTCTGTTTGTTCTTACTCGCGTTCGCAGTCCACGTTCCGGAATACTCCGGAATTCAGAAGACTGCGATATACTTTGGCTGCGTCTCAGGTTCAAACTGTGATAAAGAGCTTGGAGGCAGAGATAGCAACATTGAACGAACAAGCCAAGGAGGTTCGACGAAACCAGCAAAGTCATCAGTGGTCTCTGACCCAAGCTTCGTCTTTACATGAGCTGATTCCATTTCAAGGTACCTAGCGGAAGTTCGCAGACTGCAACAACGAAAGCAGGCGCTGGAAGAGCATCTGTACGGCTATTTCAGATTGTTGGTACGGGCTTGACTTGAGAGCAACAGGTACATCCTCGAACTACCTGACTCCTTGTACTTCCTGCCTCCCTTGCACCCGTTCCGAAAGCTCGTTCGGAGGTTGATATGGAACCGACACTTCAATCGGCTCATTGCCTTCTGTACCTTGGCCTCCTGCATTCTTCTGTCGCTCGAGAGGTGGCATGACGGGTGACTGCTTCTACACACACTTGACTGTTGGACAGGCCGGGAATACAGCCGAACGAGCGACTCTTTCTCGATACTTCCAACACAGTTCTCAACTTCATCTTCGCGTTTGAATTCCTCGCAAAGGTGAAGGTCGATCTGAGGTACTGCGACTGACTTTGGGGCATGCAGGTGATTGTCCTATCTGCTGAATCTTACTTCAAAGAGGACTGGAACAGACTCGGTGCCGTCTAAAAGTCACTGATTCCTCGTTTGACATCCTGTACCTTGCAGACTTCGTCATTGTTTGCACGGCTATGTTAGACGAGATCTTGTCTCGCAGCGGGGCAGTGCAGGGCACCGGCGCGTTCAAAGTAAGTGAGAGAGGAGAGGAGAGGTAGACGTTGCGCGATGTTTGTGCATGATGAGATGTGTTGTGTGTGTGAAGATGAGAGAGCCAGCAGGTGTGACAGTGAGTTATGACAGGTCCTGAGGCTTCTTCGAGGGTTGCGGCCACTGAGAGCCTTGAAACATCTCAAGGGCCTGTCGCTGCTCTTCTCTGCCCTCTCAGAAGCTCTTTACCCTCTCCTCATCACCTCCGTCATCTTGTTCGCTTTTCTCTCCATCCCTGCCATAGTCGGCATGCAGGTTGGGGTAGCAGAGGCACTACAGGTCTCTGACAGTAGCCGGCAGTTCCTCAACGGGCAAGTGGTGTACTGCTCCGACCCCTCTGTGTTGGAGTACTCCGAGTGCCGGGGCCTGGACGGGACGGGGGAAACGAGACACTGGCAGTCGAGAAGTTACTCTTTCGGTCGGATCTCCTGCTGGGAGCTTGCTCGCACTCACCAGCTGCTCAGACTGGTACGGAGACGCGATCCTCACCATGTACGTCATTGGGACTCTCGACACGGGATGGCAGCAGATCATGTTCTACACCGTCGACTCGACAGGTGAGATCAAGTTCCTGCCCCCTCCTCCTCATCCTCCTCCTGCCTTTTTCTAGGAGTCACCACTGGACCCTACAATTGGTACAGCCCTGCGGTGATGTATCTTGCTGCATGCAAGGGAACTGATGCGTGAAAACAACAACAGATGATGCTGTTGTCGGTCGTGACAATCATCATGGTAATGTATGCGCAGAGTTGACTCCATTCCCTTCACAGCCGATCACAAGACTCTCTTTCACTTCTGTCCTCCCGCACTTCACTCACTTCCTGTTTGTTCGGCGCAGGTCGGCTTCTTCATCATGCGCTTGTTCACGGCCATCTTTGTCAAATCCTACTCGATCGCCCTCAGAGAAACTCAGATGAAGGAGCGTCTCGCTATGATAGAGACCCAAGGTCAGTCGCTCTTGCAGCGCCGGAGCCGAGTGACATGATTCAGACTTCTCGCGCAAGAAGATCAAGAGGATAGCTCTCCCTGTCATCTTCGGCACTTCCTCCATCCGTCGGCAGATCGTCAACCAGATTCTCAATCATCCCGTAATGGAAGCTTTCACAACTCTAGTGGTGATCGCGCAGATCGTTGCTCTCTCCGCAACGAGTTACAAGATGTCGACGAGCCAACAGGTTTGTTCCATCTCCTGGTCTCTCTCGTTGACCTCCGGCAGGACCTCGCCACGGGCCTCAACTCCTTCTGCGGTCAAGTCTTCGCAGTGATGACGGCGATGGAGCTCTACGCCACCCACCTCTCTCGCTTCACCCTCGACAAGTGACTGAGTGGTTGGCCCGCCTGTCGCTGAGATGCCCTGACAGATGGTCTCTCCTCGAGTGGGGCATCGTCATCGTCTTCTTCATCAACACAGGAATCGAGTCGCTGGGTACACAATCCATCATCCTTAACGCCAACCTCGCTCGCATTTTCCGACTTCTCCGCATTATCCGCCTGATCCGAGCATCCAAGGTACATGAGACGTGGTCTGAGGGAGGGCGGCAGCTGATCTCATTCCCCCAGCGAGTTTCGATCCCCAAGAGTCTTCGACAAGTGCTGAAAGGGATTGTCAAGTCGAGGGTCACGATCATGCACCTCGGCGCACTCCTCCTCCTCCTCTTCTTCTGCATCGGGGTGATTTGTATCTCCTTCATGGGGAACATGTGCGTCCAAGGAGACGAGATCCATCAGTTCAGGTGCGTCAAGCTCTCCTTCCCTTGCCCCTGATCCTCTGGACTTCAGATGTAGAATGCTCCAACCCCAGCTCCTCCTCCCGTACACTGCTTCCTTCCGGAACCTCGGGGTTGCGTTCCTGACCCTCTTCCGCATGGCGAGCGGAGATTCCTGGTAGGCTGTCCCAGCCTGAGGAGAGAATTGAAATCTGCACAGGTCTCCTCTGCTCAAGATGTACGGGACCTCCTCTGCGCTCTACCCTCGCAAGGAAGGTACCGCGGGTAGATCATCTCCTTCGCGCCTGCTGATTCTACGATGGAGGCTACCTTGAAGCGGCCAAGGAGCTTCTTGCTCAGTGCAGGACGGCCAAGGACACGCTTGAGCAAGAGGTCAGGGATGCAATGAGGAGATGTGCAGCTGAGGTAGAGATCAGGTCTATCTTGTTAAGCTCCGACATCTGTTTCAAGGCTGCGTGACCGGGACAGAGCTGCAGATGGTTTGATCAGCAGGTGGTGCAGCCTCTTTCTAAGTCCCCCCCGCGCAGATCGCCGACGGCTCCTTGATCTCATGCTCACGGTCGACAGACTGCGACTCTACCTGCGGATCTATGACGGTAAGTTGGCCCTTCAAGTATCAGGACCCATCGCTCATAGCTGACGGCTCTGGTCAGGCCTACGCTTTCATCCCTCTCTTCATCGCCATCGCAAACTTCGTCGTCATCAACCTCGTTGTCTCTGTCATCATGTCTCAGATTGGCTACGGCCTGACCAAAAACATCGCCATCGTGCCTGGCACAGCCAATCTTACCTACCTTCAGTTTGCCAACATCTGGTAGCCAATGACTGATATGCGTTAAAATGGATGACCTCGTCCCAGGAAAGTTTGGTGCGTCAAGGTCCGACGCAAGACGAGCTTCCTGGCCGAGGCTGAGCGCAGGAAGTCAATGCTCAAGTGAGTCCTTTGCCCACCCAACACTGCGAGTGACCTGCGACTTGTCAGGTCGCTGTCACGGAGAGGGTCACGACGTGCGAGCTCCCTTACACGGTGAACCTTGCTGGAGGCTCCGAGCCCCATGGTTGTAGTCACGATTGTAGCAGGATGTACGACAGCACCACAGACCTCAAGTCCTTGGTGGATCCGCCGGAGACGACGGGCAACCATGTCAAGGATGGCACCAGCAACGAGCAAGAGCACACGGCAGGAGGGGGAGGCGAGCAGGAGAGAAGGGGGAAGGAGAAGAAGTCGCTCATCCGGGGAGGAGACGACAGCTCCAAGTCAAGGGAAAGACTGAAAGGGAACGGGTTGAAACCGCCGGCTCCTCAAGACGTCACTTCAGACGTCCGATCTGAAACTCCCGTCTCGAAGCATGGCAGGCTCCGCACCTCTCGAACTTCGACCTCTCAGGAGGGGAGGAGGGCGCGTTCCAAAGAGGAAGGGGAGGAGAGGAGCGATAAGACAGCGTCACATCAATTGGAACGAAGTGAAGCAGGAGATGTCACGTCTCGAACTGCTGCAAGACGGAGGGACGTGGACAAGCTGTCCAGCATCTCCAGCACTAGGATGAGCGCTTCTTCCCATGCCTCTGAGGACAACACCAAGTTTGCAAGACGTCAGGACAGAGAGCCAAAGAAGGAGAGAAGACATGGCAAGGAGATCAATGAGGAGAGAAGACAGCGCTCGAACATCACAGCAAAGCGGCGCGAGCAGGCTGAAATGAAGAATGAGGAAACCAATAGGCAGCAGGGAGCACGACATCATGGCGGTCGTTCAGACCATGAATCCCGGAGAGCACGAGCAAGGAAAGAAGTGCAGGACGGCGACAACAGGAGAGGAGTCTCGGGCAGAGACAAGCTAGTAGCTGGAGCTGTCAAGCATGATGTCAGGGCAGACCTTGTTCTGAGGCTCGACCAGACGCCGAAAGCAGACGTGTAATGTTACTCTAGAAAAAGAATCTAACGAAAGAGAAGGCGACTGTGATGCCTGCACCGATGGCAAGCGAGTTGATCAGCATGCCTCCGAAGCTCTCCTGCGACTGTTGTGGAGGTCCATTGCGGTACATGCCCAAAGGCTTCGCTTCGCCAACCATCGTTGTTTCATTAGTCAACCTGTTCCAGTAGTATGTCCCACCAGTCTTGGGGTCCGAAACGGCTGTCCAAGGATCCTCTATGTTAGTGACATCCTTGCTCATCTGCTGGACAACGGTCAGCATACGAGGTCTGAAGCAGGAGTGTCACCTGGCTGCCGCCACCAACGTATGGCGGGGGAGGAGTGAGGGGCTGGCTCTTGTTGGGATGGCTTGAGTGAGTGTTCTGAGAGTTGTAGGGGGAGGGAGAGGAAGACAGCAGTCGCTCCCCAACTCTCTTCCCCCACCACCTCTGAGCCGCCACCAGACCTGCCCTCGCCGTAGAAGCTGCCATGGTTGATGATAACGGACAATGTAACGGTCCCTAAGTGACTCCGAACTTGCTAGGCCGCCCGGCCCCCGGGCCCCGGGTGCAAGTTTTGTACCACAGAGCTCTGAGGCGCACCGTTTACATTTGTTGAGTAATCATCTATTTCTTGGGGACCCTCATGCGTCGAGGGTTTGCAGGGGGGTAGGTGGTGAACCTCAGGCGGGAAATGACAAATGCAGGGGTACTGAAAGGTTGTTTTGGGGGTAGGGGTGGTTCTAAGGAGTTATGTGAGGTAGGGGTAGTATTTTGTTGGTCTCTCAGGTGGATGGGGGTGGTGGGGTCGACCGTTGGGTGGGCATGGCGAGGGAACGGAGCGATTGGGCTTTTATGGAGGACTGGCAGCTCTTGACAGACGGATAGATAGCTTCTGTTCGTTTCTGCTAAGAACAGTTCAACTTCCCAGCTTGCCATGCATGCCTGAACAGGTCTCCTTCATGAGTCGCCTTGGTAACGGAGTAGAACGGGTTTGAGAGAATGATTCCTAACGTCGAGGAGGTCGACGATTCTGATTCGGATACCGGATCTTACACCACTGAAGACAACTCGCAAGGTCCAGCTAAGTCCGATATAGATGGGGCATACTATGATGAAGGGTTCTTTGAGAACGAACTTGAAGGTCTTGATGATGATGATGATGATGACGACGACGACGACGACGACGACGACGACGACGATGGCGATAATTTGATTGCAGATGAAGAGCATACTTCTTCAGAACATGAGTCGCCGCTGATACCTGCGAAGCAAAGTCATCACCATTCTGAATATCCCCTAAAGGCAGGCAACGAGACTGAGCGCTCTGGAAAGCAGAATTTGTCGGAAGGGAAAGAAGAAACTACTATTGGTTCCTCAGTGTTGTTCAGCCTTGATAGGGATGCCCGCAAGACTCCAGGTCAAGTGTGCAGGAACAAGGACAAGGCGCTGTACTACAAGCTCACGGTGAGCGGACAGTATAACTGCGTTCGGAATGCATTCAGAAGAGCAGGATTCTTACCTACCAGCTCCAACAATTTCAATGTCTTATGGGGGAAACCTTTGAAGATAGCAGAGTACAAAGAATTGTGTGAATATCAGAAGGTGAATCACTTCCCTGGCACATACCTTCTAGGAAGAAAGGATAATCTTGCCCGCGTCTGCAACAAGTTCCGCCGAGTGTTTGGATCGGACAGTTTCCAGTACCTGCCAAAGACTTTTGTGTTGCCAGGAGAAAGAACGGAGCTCCTGCAGGACTACGAGGAATGGAAGGGAAAGTTGAAGAAGAACGACTGTGACATATCTTACATCGTCAAACCTCCTGCGGGATGCCGGGGTATCGGGATCCGACTGATCTCGGACCCGAACACTCAGATTAAGGAGAAGGCCGTGTGCGTTGTTTCTAGGTACATCTCAGACCCGTTCTTGATCAACGAAACCAAGTTCGATCTGAGGATCTATGTTGCTATCACAAGCTTCAATCCTCTCCGTGTCTACGTGCATGAGAACGGGTTGGCAAGGTTCTGTACAGTAAAATACAGTCGCAAGACAAGGAAGAATCGGTTCAGACATCTGACCAACTACAGCCTCAACAAGCAGAATCCAAACTTTGTCAAGAATACGAATGCATCTGTTGACGACGAGGGCCACAAGTGGGGGCTGAAGGCTGTATGGAAGTGGATGCGAGAGAGGCAGATGGATGTCTCAACTGTCATGGGGAAGATCGACGATCTGATCTTGAAGACTTTGCTATCGATCGAGGTCCAGATCAACACAAACATGCAGCTTGCAGTCCCTTGTCGAAATAACTGCTTTGAGTTGTTCGGTTTTGATGTGATGCTGGACTCGAATCTACACCCATGGTTGATTGAGGTGAACACCGCACTGTCTCTGGCGTCCGATTCCCCTCTTGACAAGTCGATCAAGAATCAGTTAGTCACGGAGGTGTTGAACATGGTTTGTGTGAAGCAGTACGACCGGAAGAAACTTTCCGACAAGCTCGAAAGGGACAAGGCAAGAAGACTCCAAGGAATGGAGAAATCTGCCTACTCTCGAACTTCAGACGAGAATGCGAGGCGACGACAAGTTTGCGCGGGGAAAGTGTCAGCACTGGATGAGCTGACAGCAGAGGATGCTACCATCCTCCGCGAGGTGGAGGAAGAAAATGAGAGGCGTGGAGGATTCCGCAGGATTTTCCCACAGAACGACGAGGCAACAAGGAAGTGGATGAAGCTGTTTGAAGTGAAGCGATTCTACAATGTGCTTCAGTTCCAGTGGGTGACACGAGATAACAACCTTTCCATCGACGACTATCTCTTCAGAAAGAACTCAGAAGCTAAGAAGGTTACCAGTCACAAGCCTTCAAGCCAAGTGACAGCGGCTAACCCTTCTCTCTCTGTCCGCACGACCGGAAAGAGATCGCTGCCTCGGGAGTCTTTCCACGCGACACCAGCGAGCGGGAGGAGGCATATCGAGGTCGACTATGCCGTTCAGACTTCTCCCAATTCCCCCACATCACCGATGTGCTCTCCTCGTAACATCGAGCTAGACGGGGAGCTGCGGCTTATGGGAGGGAGCACAAGCAGGGCAAGGGAGGACACGGATATGTCGCCCGGGAGTCTCTCGAAGGATACGCTCGAGGCAGCCAAGAGAAGCTCTGCTGGAGCTCAGGTGAAGCAGAGGCGATGGGCTTCCTTCGACATCCCAAAGATTGTTACGAAACTGTCGAAAGCAAGCAGCGCGAACGAAAGATTACCAACGCTCCTGCAAGACCCACAGGTTTGTGAACTGTATCGTCTCACAGCGAGCTGACTCGCGTGGTGCAGGGCAAGCGGTGGGGTGGCAGAGGAGGACAGCAGCGAGAACAGTGGTTCAAGTTCAGCTCGCCTCCAACCTCTGCAGAAGCAATCTTGCAGACCAGGACCCTCTCCCACACAGCTAAGACTCACTTCCTTGACCGAAGGCCGAGCGTTTCCGCGGGGAGGTTTCAGTTCTTGGTTCATAAGGAGCAGCGCAGGAACAGCGAGGTGCTCAGAGCAGCGCATCCTCCTCGAGATGCTCTGGGCCTGCCAGTCACCAGTGAGACCAGACGAGGCAAGGTTCCTCGGTCTCGCGAGCAAGGGGTGTTGCTGCAGAAGATGATGCCGTCTGTGTCGTCCCTCGTCGCTGATGTCACCGGCACCAACAGACGCCTGAACTTCTTTCCATCAACGTGGACCAAGGAAAATATCAGTTCCCGAACCCTTCAGGCGCGGGAGTTGAAGGAAGGGTCCAGCAGGAACAGACCAGTGTCAGCTCTTGCCAGCTAAGGATTTCAGTCATTGCCATTCATTCATTGCCCATTACCGATGGGTGATGCTATCAAAGTCGGAAACCCGAATGTATAGCAACTACCCCGCCCAAGATATTCTTGTAAGTAACGTGTTTCATTCCTGCCACTTGTTCACGATAGATAAAGCTGCAAAACTTTTCTCACCAGCGTCTCTCATCAAGTCTGCGAGCGTCTCTTGATCATGAAACTGTCGTATTGACTCCACGAGGTACTGATAAGGCTGGCGACTCTCTCAATCTCCTCCTCCTCTCATTCTGGATGGCGAACATACCTGAGGGTCACCGGCCAGGAATCCGCCCATGGCCGGGATGACGTTGAACGAGTAAGCATCGTATGCCTGACGCAAGAGCGGGTCCTTGACCTTCTCAAGGCCATCAGATCAGCATGTGACATGCAAGGAGACTGCCTGTGAAAACTCCATGCAGAGGAACCTTCCGCCCCTGACCGCCACGTCAGCAGCAAGACCCTTCAACGACCAGGACTTACTTAGTCAAGATGCGGTTGATCTCTGAGAGAGCCTTCCAGGTCCGGGAGACGTTTCGAAGGCCGAACGCGATGGTCACGGCATCGACAGACCTGTTCGCACGCCTCTCACACGCCTCCTTCCTCCCTCCTCCTCAACACGCTCCCGCACCCGTCAGGGAATGGCAAGTTCTCGGCATCTCCCTGGACCCACTGGAGGGAGATCCCATCAACCACTGCCGGCCGATCGTTCTTCGCCCTCCGCCTGCCACCCACAACACCTTCTTGAGCCACTGCTGATGTATGAGAGCTCAGTCAGTCACCTTCCCTCCTGCAACATCTCGGCGTTGATGTCGCAGACCGTGACATGCGTGTCGATAGCAGACTCTGCGCTACCTGAGCCACGGGTGAGCACGGCGAGGGAAGGAACGCACTCCTCACCGACGATCTTTCGTTGTGAGCTAAGAGCATCGATCATACGGAAGGAAATGTCTCCCGTTCCTCCTGCTGCGTTTCAGTATGCGACAAGTCATCCAAAGTGGTGCCTGCAAGATCAACAATCGACATTCCACGGCATGGCCTGGCGAACTCTTCAGCTTTTCTAACTCTTACAAGCAGTCTCGTCTCACCCTAACATCGCAACAAAATCATCTTTCCACATGCGGTGCTGTTGAAAGGCTCAGCGTGAAACCGACTTGGACAACTGATCTCGGGCACCATTCCACCGCTCATTGCGTCGTTCATCAGGTCGTACTTGCTCGCGACCTGGCTCGAGTGTCAGCCCAGATGACTCTCACAAGGGTTCGACCGTTGTAATTACCTGCGAGAAAACTTCTCCCACCATCTTTGCCTTATCCTCCATCCTGACAGTCTTGAAACCGAAGTGCGTTTGCTCCCCTACGCAAGGTCTCACTGGCTACATCTAGCTTCCCTTCACCTCACCGTTCTGCTTCTCGCTGCTGAACTCTCTCAAGTCTCTTCGCACTCCACATGCTGATCGTGTCGACCATCCCACGCAGCTGCTCAGCAGCCGCTTCCTCATGACCGTGGCCATGCTTGAGCAGCTACTTATGTCGTATCCAGCCCTCATCCAGCCCCCGTGCATGGGAGCCCGGGCCGGGCCAGGGGCCGGGCAGGCCCATGCCCGGCCCGGCCGGCCGCCGCGCCCCGGGCCCGGCCGTTTGGCCCGGGCCGGACTGGGCAGCCGGACTCAGGCCCGCCCGATCCGGGAAGTCGGGGTATCACTAGGCCGGGCGGCTGGTGATCGGACCGGTACCGTCAAGGTCCTACTAGCGCCGGGCCGTTCGTCGATCGGTTTGCGGCCCTGAGTCACTGTGTCCGACACAGGCTGGCCCCGCCGGGCTCGAGGCTCGGACTCCGGTCTCAACTTCAGCTGGGCCCGGCCCTCAGCAGGCCCTGTACTGGCAGCAGGCCCTGTACTGATCGGACCGAGTCCGACCTGCCACAGGCTGCGGTTTAGGGGGCGGCGGGGCCGGGGAATCCGTCCGAGTCCGATCACCTGGCGGGCCGCGGCCCCGCGGCGGGCGGCGCCGGCCCTTGCTGAGTGTGCTGTAAAGTTTTGGGCTACCGTCAGATTGATTCGACCACGACTACCCTACCCCCACCCCCCTCAGCCCTCTAGACAGAGAGACCACCAACGATACTGGTGACTCCACCCCACCCTCAATCCTCCATCTTGTACCCCCCTCTTAGACTTGTTTGTGTGGTGGGTACCCCAAAAAAAAAGGGAGAAGACGCTTTACACCACAAGGTCCTGTGGGAGGGGGTAGGTTGAGAGGTGGGGTTCTCTGGACAGCTTCAGGTAGGGTGCTTAACATCTGTCATAGGATTGAGGTGGGGTCCTTCTGAAGGCCTAGGGTGGGTGGGTTTGTTATACAGGTTTGCTGGTAGGGCGGGGGTACTCAAGTTTGTAGGCTCGATGCTTTAGAAAAGGTAGGGTGGGGTAATGGGAGCTGCAGGGTCTGTAAAGTAATAGGGTGCTGAGGGGATTGGAGGGGTGGGTAGTAAAGGATCGACATGCAAGATTTTGTTTGGGCGCGAGGAAGCGATGAGGCATAAAAGGATGCAGGAAGCAGAGAGGAGAGGAGAGGAGGAGGAGAGGAGGAGAGGAGGAGAGGAGGAGAGGAGGAGATGGAGAGAGGATGTCATGCAAGAGATACGGCACGATATCATGTGATGCGCAAGAGAAAAAGAGAACAGATTGGGAGCAAACTAAACAATGTGGGTAATGGTAGCAGAGGCAGGATGAAGAATGGAACGATGATAGAATGAAGACGAATTCCCCTTATAAAAATTGAAGAATAGGGCGATGGATAGTGAGAAAGGTGTGGTATTCGTGCAGTGCTATTGGGATTTGCTTTGTGGTGAGTCGAAGATGAGATGGGGTGGTGGGGTCACAGACTGTTTTCTTTCAAGATGCATGGATAGAATGAAAGTTTGTTATGTGCAAATAACGGGAAATCGGGGTAGACATACACGAATACCAGTGATTCATGATACTGCTTGCTTTGCGATAGAAAGACTGATTGCTTTCCTTTCGTCAAGATGATCCGTTCCAGCTCTATGCGAAGGGCAACAGCTGCGTTGTTTCAGACAGTCAAGGGCAGATCAGCCAACCATGTTCCGATCTACTCTGTCCGGGCGATGAGCTCGTTCGCGCGTCCCACGTGGGACAAGCCCCTTCAGGAGTTGGACCCGGAGATCCATCACCTGATTCAGGTGCGTGATCAGGTTGTCATGGAGGATTCTCGCTGACATGGAGGGCAGGCTGAGCAGAATCGTCAGCATCGGGGCATCGCTCTCATCCCTTCTGAAAACTACGCGTCGCTGGCTGTGAGCCAGGCGCTCGGCAGTGTCATGACCAACAAGTACTCTGAGGGATATCCTGGCCAGCGCTACTACGGAGGGAATGAAATTATTGACAAGAATGAGAACCTTTGCAGAGCCAGGGCCTTGTCTGCCTTCAGGTTGGATCCAGAGCGGTGGGGGGTCAACGTTCAGGCGCTCTCCGGATCCCCAGCGAACTTCGCAGTTTACACGGCTCTCCTCCAGCCGCACGATCGTATCATGGGATTGGATTTGCCTCATGGAGGACATCTTTCTCACGGATTCTCCACCCCCACGAAGAAGATTTCCGCTACCTCTGTCTACTTCGAACAGATGCCCTACCGCCTTGATGAGAAAACTGGCCTCATCGACTATGACAGACTTGCTGAAAATGCCCTTCTCTTCCGCCCCAAAATCATCATTGCAGGTGCATCAGCTTACGCTAGGCACTACAACTATGCCAAAATGAGGGAAATCGCCGACTCTGTTAATGCTGTCCTCCTTGCCGACATGGCTCACATCTCGGGATTGGTGGCAGCGGGAATTGTTCCTGATCCATTCCAGTACGCTGACATCGTCACCACTACCACCCACAAGTCTCTCAGAGGTCCTCGAGGTGCCATGATCTTCTTCCGCAAGGGAGAGAAGTCGAAGGTTTGTCTTGAGATATAGTCGTTGTCGTTTCTAATCGATTGTGGTAGGACAAGCAAGGAAAGTCCATCATGTATGACTATGAAGAGCGAATCAACCAGGCTGTTTTCCCCGGTCTGCAGGTACTTGACCTTCAGTTGCCATCATGCTTTTTTATCTGACCACCACCTAGGGAGGTCCTCACAACCACACCATCTGCGCTCTCGCCGTTGCACTGAAGCAGGCATCCACCCCTGAGTTCAAGGCCTACCAGGAGCAGGTTGATAAAGCCTGACGATTTGCATGAAATCTGAACATAAGGTGCGCAGGTTATCAAGAACTCTGCGGCCATGGCTAAGGCCTTGACTGCACGTGGATATAACTTGGTTTCGGGTGGAACAGAAAACCATTTGGTTCGTCAATTTCACAGCCGTGCATGGGTGGGGAGTCCTGAGTTGCGCATGCAGGTCCTCATCGATCTCAGAGACAAGGGGGTTGATGGAGCTCGTGTCGAGAGGGTACGTGGCTCAGTTGATATAAGTTTTCTGGCATGTGACTCAGTGCAGATTTTGGAATTGTGCAACATTCACTGCAACAAGAACACCGTGCCTGGCGACAAGAGTGCTTTGGTTCCTCATGGCCTCCGTGTGGGATCCCCTGCTATGACCAGGTGCAGTTGCTGCATGCCGGAAAGGATTTGCTGCTGACAATCCTGACGACTAGCCGTGGACTTGTCGAGAAAGACTTTGAGGAAATTGTTGGTTTTGTTGACAGGGCCATCAAGATCACGATGGAGGTGCAGCAACTCTAGTGATACGTGAAGAACTATCAGCTGATTTCTTCTGCAGCTCAAGTCTGCTCATCCCGAGCACAAGCTCAAGGACTTCAAAGCCTTGCTCGATGCATCACCACCTGATTCTCTCAAGACTCTGGCAAAGGAGGCAAGAGCTTTGTGACTGGTTTGACGCATATCTTACATGCAGCAGGTCGATCAATGGTCTCAGAAGTTCCCCATGCCTGGTCAGTTCATGTAAAATACCTCAGTAGCCGAAAGAATCGTGCTCTCCTCCTCTTTGTCAAACTGCGATAAGGCCTTACCATCCTACCTTCCCGACCTCTTCTCCCTCAACATCTTGCCACCATGCTTCGGGCGTCTGGATAGCAAGAGGAACAAGGTCATGCATTACTCCTTTCATGTTCTACCGGCATGCCCAGATTTGAGGCGAAAGGATCATTTATGCTAAGGATTTGTAGTTTCTCTGGAAGACCATAATCGCTCTTATGACATTGAAAGCTTTACTTCAATTCGACATGAATATGTGTTGCTGTGCCTGTCAGCTTCATGAGAGTTTATTGGATGATACGAGAATTTCATTTGTGCGAGACAATGTCTAGAACGATAACATGTCTGATCAGCCTGATCATTTGTATGAACTTGGCTTCAGGCTTGAAAAGTCCAACTTGCACAATCTATTCCCTATGCCAGTCCACGACTGACTAGGCCATACCGTACGGTCAAGTAGTCGTTAGAGCTTGAGGGTGATTCATGGTATACGTGACTCGGAGTCTGAGGCGGTCGGCCCGGGAGTTTCGTCGGCAACGGACTAGCGTTCAGTAGCTCCGCACTGAGCTCCGGGCCCTGCTCCGGCGGCCCCAGCCAGCCTTCTGTGCGGTATGAGGGCCGCTTGAAGGGCTTTCCCGCGCTTTCTCGTTTTACCAACCTCCGCAATACATTTGAACTACCCCTACCCCCTTGAACGAGTAATTTTTAGACTAGTAAGTGGGGGTATACCAAGTACCCCTACCCTGTAGGAAGTCATCTCGTCTCTCTGCCATGGTGCCGTGGGTGGAGCAGCATCGCCCGTCCTCTATCGCGCAGGTCGCCCACCAGCGCCATGTCGTCGCCACACTCTCGTCGGCTGTCGAGAGCGGCAATGTGAGATCCGTCTGCCTCCTCCTCCTCCTCCTCCCTCCTACTTCTCCATCCTCCTTCCCTCGTTCCCCCCATCCTCTTTCCCCTCCTCTTTGCCTTTCTTGTCCACCACCTCTCCTCTTTCCTTGGTACCTCTTTCATGTCTCTTGTCGGGGTACCCCAGATGGTTTCTCATAGGGTGGTGAATGTTTGTGATGCATCGACTATTCGTGTAATGTGCTGAGCTTTTCTTCAGCTCCCTCATTTGCTCTTCTACGGACCCCCTGGAACAGGGAAGACATCGACCATCCTCGCTCTCGCCAAGGACCTGTATGGGCCAGAGTTGTACAAGTCGAGGGTTCTGGAGCTGAATGCGTCCGATGAACGAGGGATTGATGTTGTAAGAAACAAGATAAAGCACTTCGCGTCGCTCGCCGTCTCTTCCTCCAAAAGGTGACGTCACGGTCTACGTATTCGAAGTGACCGATGTACCAGCTCTTCGTATCCTTGTCCTCCCTTCAAGCTTGTTATTCTGGACGAGGCTGACTGTATGACGACTGATGCACAAAGTGCCTTACGAAGGACCATGGAAACCTGCACCCGTGTCACGCGCTTCTGTATCATATGCAATTATGTCAGCAGGTTTGTATGGCTGTAGATTGTTGCCGCCTTCTGAACGGCCTGTCAGGATCATCTCACCCATCGCCTCACGTTGTGCGAAGTTTCGGTTTCAGCCTGTCTCCACCGAGGTGATGCTCGAGAGGCTCAACATGATAGCCGACAAGGAAGGGTTTCAGCTTCCTTCAGACGTGAGTTGCTCCCCATCAGGCTCCAAAGTTTCTGAATCCTCTCAAGGCAGCGGATGCTCTGGTCAACATCTCGGGGGGAGACCTTCGTCGGGCGATCACCATGATGCAGAACACGTACATCTTGCACGGGAACTCGATGAAGGGACAGGACATCATTGAGAACGCTGCTGTAAGTGTTCTTCAGCAGTGAAATTTAGGGGCACCCTGACTTCTCCTACGCGCAGACAATTCCTGATTCGGTCATTCTGGACCTTGTGAATTCTTGCAAGTATAACTCATTCGAGAAAATTCAAAGCAAAGTCAACGATATCATAGCTGATGGGTACCCGGCCAACCAAGTCGTCGCGCAGGTAGAGTTAGAGTCGAGTTGGCGGCAGGTTCTGATGACAATCGAGCAGATTCATGATTGGGTTATGAGCAAGGAAGCTTTCGGTATCTCGGCAAAGAGCAAGTCGATCATCTGCAAGGCCTTGGGAACAACCGACATGAGGCTGACCGACGGGTCTGATGTCACCCTCTCCCTGCTCCATCTTGTTAGCGTGATCATGCAAGCCCTACAAACTTCTTGATGCATATAAATGAAGGCTCGGTAAATTCCTCACCGTAAAACGGCCGCCTTACGATCCGGCTCAGCCTGATCAGTGATGAGGGCCCGCCAGTGCCGGGACTGGTCACTGAGTCGCGACCCCAAGCCCGGTGACCGTCCGATCTGCAGTGCGCCGCGGCACAGCGGCGGCACCGTGAAGAGTCTGGCAGCGCACCAGGCAGCGCACTGAGAGTGGCGGTCATCGGATGGGGGGCAACACCGGGCTTCACAGCTAGAAATTCTCCCACGGATTCCCTAGGGCGGCCGTGGGGTATGTGAAGATGCGAGGGAGGGGAGGCGGGATGGCGATGGCAGCAGCAGCTGCGATCCTCTTCTGCTTCAGTGGAGCACAGCAAGTGAAGTCTCTTCGCAGGGAGGACGAGGCCGAGCAACCGGCTCGAACGTCAGCGTCTTCTCCTCTGCCTCTACTCGGGGTCAGGAATCATACGCAGCCGCCTTCATGGCTCCTCAAGCTCCCGTCGGAGCTTCGGGGAGGAGAAATGAAGTTGAGTCTGAGAAAGATGAGGAGAGTAGGATCAGAGAGCACGAGGAAGGTCAGCCTCCTCGAGCGATCCTCGACATCTGGTAACGACTTGGCTGCTCTCGCCACGACCACACACAGGGAGCAAAGCGACGCGATGAGCTCTTCACGAGAGGGAAGTGCTCTGCCACCAGTAGAACGAGATTGGCACAAGAAGATGCGTGCAGCATGGAACTCTATGCTTACCAATGCCAGGGTTGGGCTCCTAGCACAGGGAAAGCTGCTCGTCGAACCTCAGCTGAAGGGACCGGCTTCTGACCTCATGAGCGCTGCCCTCGCCGGCAACCCGTCGTTGCTGACGGAGGAGCTTCGGAAGGAGCATGCCTCTGTGAACATCCACAACGAGATGGGAGAGACGCCGCTGATGCTTGCTGCCATCAGCGGCAACACCACAGCTCTCGCCCTGCTCCTGGCTCGGGGAGCGCAGCTGGACGCGAAGGATATGCACGGCTGGACGGCGCTGATGAAAGCTGTTGCTCTGGGCGACACGGAGATGGTGAAGTTCCTACTTGAAGCTGGAGCAGATGCCAAGGTATCCTGCCGATGCCTCGTCGACTATAACCTGATGATTCTGACTTGTGTGAACAGGCGGAAAACAATGCTGGGCAGAGCGCTATGTCTATTGCCAAGATGTGGGGCAAGAAGAAAGCAGCCCAGCTGCTCATCGACGCTGCTCCTGCTGCTGCTGGGGCTGATGGTCCATCATCGAGCTACTCGCATCCAGCACGACAAGACGCGGGCACACGAGGAAACGTGGGACGTCAAGCGGTGCAGACGTCGGCGCGATCGAAACAGGCGAGAAGTATGAAGGGCGCTGTGATCCGAGCGTGTGCGGACACGATCAGTGAGGTGGATGAGCTGAAAGGAATGATCGAGAATATGGAGGCCAAGATGAAGAAATCAGATGAGATGTGGATGGAGACGCTGAAGCGGAAGACTGAAAACCAGATGGAGCAATACCGCATGATCAAGAGCCTCGAGCAGGAGATCCAGTGAGCTCCTCCGTAGCTGCTGTCTCACGTCGTTTGACTCGTTGCATCAGAATGTCAAGACTGCAAGTCGAGAGCTTGGAGGGAAAGCTTGAGGCAATCGAGGTGATCTGAGTGACGGCGTTGTTGCTGGCTCTAAGACTTCTTCCAGGTCTCCAGGCAGCTCAATGAAGTGAAAGATCAACTGCAAGGAACCGCGGCCGGTCTCTCTACCATGTCCAAGACCTTGGAGTCAACCTTGCAGATGCTCGTGCGGAAACTCGGGCTCGACGAGCCTGCTCTGGCCACTCTCTCACACCCTGTGCCTGCGACCAAGTTTGAGTACAAGAAGGAGGACGAGGTCGGAGGAAAGTGCCCTAGATGGCAAAACCAGATCGAGGCTACGCCTGCTCAAGAGTGTCGAGCTTCCGTTTCTCTGCCTGATGGATCAGAGGACGTCAGGACGTCGTCTACGTGCGGAGGGTTGGAAGTTGTCAGTGTCGAATCTTCTCGAGCATCGTCGGCGCAGCAGCAGGGGCAGCGTGCAGACGCGGAGCAGCCGTTGAAGCCGATCTCTCTCGAGGGGCCGGAAAGTCCTCAGCAACCTTTCCCGCCAAAGATTGCGTTGCGAGAAGAGCGCTTGAAACTGAGAGAGAACGGAGCCGAGGGCACGTTCAACCTCAGGACCGCAGATGCCTCATCATCCTCTGTGTATGGGGAGGAGAAGGGACACGATGAGGAGAGCAGCGGTCAGCAGAGCGTGGCTATTCTGCTGTCAGTGTGGACGAGTTTCCTCAAGAGCGAAGTCTCAAAGCAGGCTGGACAAGTGTTGCGCGGCCTCGTCAGGACCTTCGCGCGTGTTGCACACTTTTTGCGGTGAATGAGAGGAGGAGGGAGGGGAAAGGAGGGGCCGAAGGAGGTTATGAGAGGGGGAGGGAGGGGGAGGGAGAGGAGGCGGAAGTGTGAGAGGAGGTGGTTGTGACTAGCTCGGTCAGGTCATATGACTGGCATGAGGTGCGAAGGTTCGTCATGACCTTGAGGAGCTTCCTCAAGATCTTCCAGCAGCGATGACGTGGGAATGTAATACTATCACTCCATGTAGATATATGAAGACAGAAACGTCACCCAGAACGGATATGGGAGAGAGGGAGGGAGATATAGGAACGACATGGGACGGAGATGCAAGTGAATCTTCCGGGCTCATTTGGGAGAGAGAATGATTGTGAGCCTACAACAAGCGAGCAGAAACATAGAGCAGACAGACAGAGGAGCAGCCAAAGCAGAGGAGAGGAGGGAACAGTTAGGAGTGGGGAGACTCAGAGCAGAGCAGAGCAGAGCAGAGCAGAGCAGAGCAGAGCAGAGCAGAGCAGAGCAGAGCAGAGCAGAGCAGAGCAGAGCAGAGCAGAGCAGAGCAGAGCAGAGCAGAACACAGGAGGTGTGACAAGGTGAGAGCAGCTTCGGATGCTCATATGTGAGTGCTGTCTTTCATGGCACGAAGTTAACTGATGATTGTTTGTGCCTTCATGATGGGGGTAGGGGTAATACCTCGCTCTACGGGCATGTGATTATGGGGGTAGTTTGAAGCTCATACTAGGGGGTCTCTTTGGGCAGGGGTAGTGACTCAGGGGAGTGTAGGGGCGTTTAGCTTTGGACCGACCAGTACGGTATGCAGGGAGGAGGAAGCAACGAGTAGTGGGCATGGCGAAGAGGATAAAGACCGGGAAGGAACAAGCAATGGGGCCGACAAGAAGTGAATAAGTGAAGGACAGCTATGCAGGCAGAAAACTTGCAACGTCAACACGATGGGGAGGAGGAGAGGGATGACATTGATGTGGATGACGACAGTCAGTTGAGAGGCCAAGAGCCCCATGATAGCAGTGATGCAAGCTTTGATGAGGTGCAAGAGAAGGACATCGTGATGCAAGAAGAGAGCTCAGTGGAAGGAATGGACACAGCAATCGAAGAAGACCACGATGCCCAGAACCAGGTTGATGCCGCAGCCGTTGACAAGAACGCAAGTAAAAGGTCGTCGAGAAGGGCGAATGGGAACGGTGGAAAGGAAAGGAAGGCTCCATACCATATCCGCAAGAGTGACATTCCTCTCTACTCGGTCGATGAGACCGGTTCACTCGAGGAGCTGTCCTTGAGGTCACGCAGCTCCTTGTCCCCAGAGAGCAGCTTCGACATGGGCTATGCCGAACCCCAGCTCGCTCAGCAGCCCACCATGACGGTTCGGCCATGGATGGATGATCCGGCCATGGGAGGATTCAATCCCCTCCCGCAGAGGAAGGCTCTGCATCAAACTCCCTGCAAGCGGCTCGCGCGCTCTAAATTGCCATTCGCAAACATGCCAGATAGGATGGACCAGGCGCTGATCATGATTCAGAACGACATCAACTACCTCAAGAAGGGGAACTTTGCCGGCAGCAAGCTGATGCAGCTAAGTGGAAGCCCTCACGAGAGGAAGAAGACGCTTCTGAAACAACGTTCGAGATCGACAGAGCCGGTCCTCGTGGGGAGGATGCATAAAGTGAGATCGGATGCTGAAGTCCCTCAGCGATCAAGTTCCGGACTGGGCAGAGGGAGAAGGTCGGTCTCACCATACAGCCATGATACAAAGATGAAGAAGCTGTCGGAGATCACCGCAGCAAACAGTCACTCCCTCCCCTCCAAGGAAATGTTTAATTCTACCAAGGTGCGCAGTATTCCTGTGGCCATCTTTTCAATTCTCAGCCCCGAGGAAGCAAGAGAAAAGAATCCCATGCCAGGCAAGCCCAAATATCTCACGCGCATAAGCTTAGACGCAGGTAAGCTTCCTCCTCTCAACAAGAGGACAGAGAGGGACGGAGTTCACCTGCCTTATGTTAACACCCCAATGGAGCCGTACCTTCAGCTGCTGAAGAAAGGTCAACAATCACATGCAGCATCAGAGATTCCTGTATCACTTGTTCCATGACCTATGCTCTTTCAATCGATGTCTGTGTAAATACCCCTTTCTTTTTTAATGCTTTGTTCAATGAAACATTTAACCTATTCTTAAAACCAAGTCGGAAACTTACAGCATATGCTGTCCACATTGCTCAATTGGATTTCTTCCTCTGGACAGTCACTTTCTTGTAATCAGCGTTGAGATGGATGCAGCGAGTGATGATGTTGGTCAGGAAGGCCACGTCAATCAGCTTCAAGAGCACTCCTCTCACGAAGAAGCAGAAATACCCCTGAGAACTGAGTTACAACCAGAGCACTTTCCACTCAATATACCTCTTCCACAATCACAGTCCTTCCAGCTCCTGCAAACATGTATTCGACGATGTTCTCTGGGCCCCGGACAGTCTTCTGGAAGAAAGCAATGGAGGAAATCTTGTGTACTGAGTTGTAGAAGTTGGAGGCCACCGGAGAGGGATGCACAACAAGGACATCGACGCCGTTGTACTTCACTTCGGGAGCCAAGGACGTTGCGAACTCTGTCAGGAATGCTTTGGACGATCCATAGATGGCGGCAAACGGACTTGGCATGCACCCCGCTGGAGAGGACGTGAAGCAGACCAGCCCTTTCTTGCCAGAGTCGAGCATCTTGTTCAGGAAGTGATGCGTGATCTGAACGGCGCATGTGGAGTTGCAATGAAGGTTGAGCAGATGCTTCTCTATTGGAACATCAGCGAACATCCCCGTGGTAATGTATCCTGCATTGTTGAACACACAAGTAATGGATATGTCCTTCGTCGAGTCCTTAATTTTCTCCATGTATCCTTCACGACTAAGATCTGCCCCAACTTTTCGGATCTGAACATCCGGATACCTTTCGAAGTTAACATCAGATGGTGTACAGCAACATGGTAAAAGAAAACACCTCTTCTTCAATTCTTCGTAGCTCTCACCGAGCAAAGAATCGTCCAAGGCTACCATGACGACATTGATTCCCTGAAGATGAGTCCAGTGAGCGGGTAATCACAAACAGACTGGCAGGCATAGACCTGTTGACAAAGTTTCTCCGTGAGAACCTTCCCAATACCACTCGATGCACCCGTGACCAGCGCCCACTCGCAATCGTACTTCTTCTGCAAAGTTCAGGTCAACACCGGTGTAAAGAAGAATGAGAATCAGCAGCTCCTTGAGTGGGAGAGCGCATGGACGCAGCTCTACCTTGAGGTCCTGTCTCTTCCACACGAAGGCAGCAAGGAGGAAGGGGATGATGAACGATGCGAACGCTACGCCCGCCAGTGCCTCTATCCACACCATGACGGACACACGCTGAAGAGGCTCATAATCGCTTTTCAGTCAGGGAAGCATAAGTAGCGGCCCGGCCGGATCCGGACAAACTGAGCCCACGGCCCCGGCCCGGTCGGCGAGCACTCGATTTAGTTCGCCGAAGCCTTCGAGTAGGGTAGCCAGGGGGCTACCAAGTTTTGAATCCGTGATATGAAGTGGGGTGGGTACTTCATGAACAGCGGGGTGGGGTACTATAATCCATTATTTTGGGTAGTATATCTGCTGCAACTTACCAGAAGGTGGGTAGTATTGGCTTCTAAATGGGGTAGTGAAGTAACCTTGACATGTATGGTTGGTTGGGTGGGTAGAGGCACGAGCAATGGCATGAACAATGGTATACTTAGGTAGGGTAGTTCAGGGTGGGGTGCTATTCCCTAAGTCGTGCAACAAAAGGGTGGGGTAGTTCAAGGGCTCTAAAGTCCTACTAGGAGAAGGGAAGAGGATAGGAAGAGGAGGGGGTACTGGGTCAGTGTGGGTAGGGGGTAGATGGTACAAAAGAAATGGGAAATCAAGCGGCTAAAGGGTAGTATGAATCGTGGGGTGGGCATTCATATATGGTGGGGGTGGGGGATGTTGTTTACAAAGGCCATATGGATACCTTTTATAACATAATGATCTTATTGGAATATTTAGATAGTAAAGGGCATCAAAGGATGATCCTTGCAAGTTGCCTATTGCATTGGTCACATTGATGGTAGGGGTACCATAGCCCCTGGGTGGGTCCAGGTAAGGGTAGCGGTACAGAGGTGGGGTAGAGGACTGGGTTGGCGGCTAGAAACAAAGAGGAAAAAAAAACACAAAAAAAGAACACAAAGAGGGACAAGAAGTGGACAGGAGAGGCAGGGAAGACAGCGGGGAGGACTTGAGGGTGACATCTTGCTTGCGCTCGGTGGTAGGCAAGAAGAAAGGAGGTAGAGCGAAAGGCCAGGCGACAGATAAATATTAGGGTTCTAGCGTGGACGGTGACAGAGACTAAGTAAGAGCAAAGGTGATGAAGGAACAAGGAAAAAGACAACGAAACCATCAGTCGTTGCTCAATTCTTTAAGTTGCAGATCACTGAATTCGTAATCCCATCGAATCAACAGCAACTTTGATATCAACTTGCTCTATATCTGTGAAGCCTTTCGAGGAACAGCTTTCTACTCCTTTTCCGCAGTTGCGAGCCGAAGATTCATCTTCTTTCTCGCATCCTACTCAACGAGAATGTTCTTTCCTCCTAACCAAACAGTTTGCGTCAAATGGCTCAGGCCAGTGAAAGAGATGAAGGAGATTTGCCAAAGCATATACGATAATATCAAGCCACAAGCCTGCTCACTGTGCATAAACAAGGATTCAGATCCACAAAATGAGGGAAGTGCTCTCGTTTTCTTCAATTATGCTGATCATGAACAAGCTGTAAATGCACGTGCGAGAATTGAGGAATGGATCGAAGTACAACATGCAAAGATCTGGGGTGCAGGAGGTATGGAAAAACCCATAGTTTATTTGAAAAGTAAGCCTTACAACAATAATCAACAACCTTTTCAACCTAACCAAACAGTATGCTTAAAATGGATGCGTCAAGACGATGGATTGGAAGAAATTTGTGTGAAGCTGAAAAATGATTTTCACCCGCAGGCAATATTCTACATTGTTGCAACAGACAACGATCCGCGATATTATGGATGTCCGCTTGTGTATTTCAATTTTCGTAATTCAGAGGAGGCACTTCGTGCTAAGTATAATTATGAGAAGTGGATTGAAGAAGAACATCGTAAAAAGAACCCTAATCATCCGGTACCAATTGTTTATATCAAATGCGACGGAATCAAGCAAACGTTGCTATGCTTTACTCTTTACGTCATGAATCTTTATGATGCTGATGCATCAAGTTTAGAGAAGGCTTTTAGTGCATTCGGTCCTTTGGTGCAAAGCAATGGACTGCCGCCAATTCGTCTCATGGATGGTTACGCCTTCGTGAATTTCGTAAATTTTGAAGATGCAGAAAATGCGTTGGAAGCGTGCAGAAACCGTCAACTTGTTCTACAAGATGGAAATTCTATCATAGATGCAAAACCAAGGTCAAATATTCTCTACATTCAAGAAATTCGGCGCAGACTAGGAGAATTGGGTAAGAAAGATATGTCCTTCCAGGACGCTGCAGAAGCTGCATCAAGTATCATGACAGCAGATGCCAAATACAAACCTGATTACTATCTAGAATTACTTATGAAGTGTGAAAGCGTTTTTGAAATCGATTGGACCAAGAGAGTGGTGAAGAATAAGAAGCAGAAGCCTGAAATTTCAGAGATTGTAATTCCACAACAAGTCGACCATTCTGTTGCTGCTAAGAGTAATGATGATCTTCACGATGACAGCAATGGAAGGCCACCCTACTTTGAATCTGCTCTATGGGCAGAAATCTGCAGCCCCTTCTCTCTGGACCTAGTTCCACCGATACAGCCTGGTCAGAATTCATTCATATTTGATAACATCATCAATGCAGATGCAAATCGAAAAGAATCAAAAACACCAGAACAAATTGATGCAGAGAATTATGGCAAATACTGTAGACTTATCACTGAGCTTGGCTCGGAAGTCATGCAGGATGCATTTCTTCATCTGTGGCAATCCATGACAGGAAATTCATGGCAAGATATCAATGCAAGAAATCTAATAAGCCGATGTGATGTCAAGTCATCTAGTATACGTACCAAGATCTTATCACAATCTTACACAAAATGGGATGTGACAGCACTCGGAACTATCCTTACACACAGAGAAATGCTGCAGGATCCAGTCATACGTGAGAATATCATGATCTTGATGAATGAAAGTGACCGACTCCTCTTACATAGAGGGAAAAACAGGAAGATGGACCCTAAAACATTCGAACAATCTTGCGAAAATATTTTAAATATTTTATCTGGAATTCTTGATGGCGTGTGTCCTGCAGACTGTTCGTATGGCAGGAGTGTTCCGACAAAGATAGCAACAATTAGATCGAGTGTCCGTCAAATAATCCTGAATGACACCAAGTACTCTCTAGATGTTTTAGTCGCGGTGGGATCGATGAGTCAAGTCTATCGTGGGAGGGATAAGCGCAATGAGACTGTCGCAATCAAATTGTGTAACTCAAGATTTACAGATGAGAACGACCACGATATGGAAATGTTAATGAAATTACAGCTGGTTGAGAACCGCAACATTGTCAAGGTGTTGGATGCAGGAATATCTGACAGCCAGCTAATAGTTGTGATGGAATATATAGATGGTGTTACTCTAGAAAGTTTGATGCAAGACAAAGCGCTTCCCTGGGAAGATAGTAAGAATTTCATATCACAGCTTGTGCATGGAGTGGCAAATTTACATTACAGAGGAATAACACATTACGATTTAAAACCATCGAACGTAATGATATCATCGGAAGACAATAGAATTGTGATAATTGATGTGGGAATGCAGAAGAATGATCCTCTCAGGCCAGAAACATCGAAAGCGCGAGATCTGCTGAGAAATCCGTTGTACATGTCACCAGAGCAAGTGCGAGGAGTGACCATGGACATTGACATCAGGACAGATGTATGGAGTCTTGGCGTCATCTTTTACAAGATGCTCTCAGGAAATCATCCGTTTGTAAATCTGAAAGGGCAGACAAGCAACGAAGGAGAACTGTCTATCGAAGATGCTTGCCTGACACGCGAAGAACACTCTAATCTTGGCTTGAACATCCTCCACCTCACGCCTCCTCTGATCGAAGGCGTCTCGAGCAAATGCAACAACTTCATTCGCATGGCATTGAAAAAGGACAAGAAGGAACGCTTTCCTGATGCACAAGCAATGGAGGAGGCTTTGACGCAGATGCTCAGCGATGTGGAAACTCAGTCAAGTTCTTCGTCTGCAAACTCCAAGACTTCCGCAGCGACAGAGCCTCCAGTCTTTAGCATGACGGTCGATGACGTTTGCCGGAAGCTCGAACAGATTGAGCTCAAGGAACACGTCTCAGCTTTCCGTGAAAATAGCATCGACGGAAGCATGCTTGACGTACTTGACCAGCTCTGGGATGATCTCAACGTAACGAAGCGAGCACACCAGATCAAGATCCTTAAGAACTTCGGGCTGCTCAAGAAGAACGACTCTCCGGTTGGATGACTCCCTTCTCTTGCCTCGCCTTTCAAATTATCGTATCTCTAGAAATATACCTGGCGGCAAGGATCCGAGAACATTTTGACTTTGATTAATAACACTTGAGATTCTGTTCTACCTCGCTTCCTTCACCCTCTTTCCCTCTCTATCTCTTCCCCACTTCTCTCATTTCTTCCTTCCACCCTGCTCTCCACGCTTGATGGCTTGTCTCCCCCGTCCTCACTTGGGGGGCTTGTTCCGCAAGATGAAGTCTAGCAAAGGCTGCGAGTGAGCAACGTTAGTTCAACGATCGGGCACGACAGCACATCGGACCCGAATCAACTTCTTCTTCGAGTAGTCTGAGAAATGTTCCTGCCACCTATCAGGCCTCGGCTCGCCCTCCCTCACAAGAACCTTGATTAAACTCTCCTCCAACGAGACGATCAGAGACTTGGTCTCATCGTCCTGCAGGAAAGCCTTCGGGTTCGTCTTGAATGCTTCAGTGTTGACAAAGGAAGAGACCGCCTGGGAGGAAGGTGAGATTTCAGGAAGGGGTCCAACACAGCCTACCATGACAGAATGCTTCTTCACATTCGTCTGGTAGTAGGTGTGATAGGTGGCTATGTTCCTGACCAAGGACGGGAAAACTTTCTTCTCTTGCATCACTTCCATTATTCTATCCTCTTGCAGCTGGTCCATGGCTTGTAGGATGTGAAATATGTAGGAGACAGCCAAGACTTCTTGTCTTCTATAGGAATCGGGTGACCGCACCATCTCAGGGTGCATCAGGGCAAATTCCAACGTCTTAGCAATGTGCTCGATGAAGAGTGGAAAGTCGATGACCTGCAAGGCTTCGATCGACGTGATGGAGCAGAGTATCAGCACTCCAAGAGTTTGTTCGAACAGTGCTGCCTTGATCTTGATCGTCGACAAGTCGTCGAAGCTCGCGTTGGGCTCCGCCTGCTTCGCTGCCGAGAGCTTGTTCGCAAACTGCTCCTGCCGTTGCAGGTCCTTGAAATCCACCAGCAGCCTCAGAGTAAGGTTCAGCTTCCCTTCTTCGAGGATGTATCGAACTATCAGCTCGTTCCTCTCCCACAGCGTTGTGCTGGCCTGTGTGTCCCTATCCACGTTCTTGTTCTCTAGCACAGCTGCGTCTGTGATCTGCTGTATCCCCTCCAACATGCGGAACCAGTTGGAAGAGAACAACGGCCATGGCGACATGGACTTGACCAGAAGCCTGTAGGCGGCTTGACTGTCTGGAAAGGACATGGTGCAGTCGCTCCTCCAACGCCAACTCCCTGCGCCATACAATCATCACGAGTAAACAAGCAGAATCGAGCAGAAGCAACAAGAGAGGCGAGAGGCGAGACGAAGAAAAAGAGGCGATGATTGAATGGCAGCAGCAAGTGAGCGAGCGAGCGGCAGGGCAAGGATGATACATGGTGTACTCTGCATGGAGGTTCGCGTGCACGGGGCAGGTTTGTGTTATGGGGATGTTATGGATGTTGGGTTGTCAAAGGAGCAAGAAGAAGGAGGAGCTGGGCCAGCAGGAAGAGTAAATTATGATGGTGGAGTGTTAGCGAAGGAGAAGGAGAAGAAGGAGAAAGTGTTGGCCAAGAAGGTGGTCGCAGAGATTAAGGAACAGGCAAAGGAGGAGGAGGATGAGGATGAGGATGATGATGATGATGAGGAGGAGGAGGAGGAGGAGGAGGAGGAGGAGGAGGAGGAGGAGGAGGAGGAGGAGGAGGAGGAGGAGGAC